CGGCGTGCTTGGCCAGCTCACCGGGGAGGATCAGTCGCACGGACGTCTGGATTTCGCGCGACGAGATGGTGGATTTCTTGTTGTAGGCGGCGAGCTTGCTGGCTTCGGTTGCGACGCGCTCGAAGATGTCGTTTACGAAGGAGTTGAGGATGCTCATGGCGCGGTTGGAGATGCCGGTGTCGGGGTGGACTTGCTTGAGGACTGTACAAACATAATCGTGTTAGTGACGCGTTCAGATGTAAGTGATGGATGAGGTGGATGGAGGCGACGCGTACCCTTGTAGATGTAGGAGCTGTACGTCTCCTTGCGGGTCTTTGTTCGCTTCTTCTTGTCGCCTGATGGGGCGGCGGTCTTCTTGCCAGCCTCCTTCTTCTCAGCAGGAGCTTTGCCAGCTGGTGCCTTGCCGGCGGTGGTGGGGGTCTGAGAAATCACAGTTAGTATTGAGTGAAAGAAACGCGATAAATCCGTAAGTGATGCGATTTGTGGACGCGATCTCACCTTCGCTGCGGTCTTGGGTGCCATTTCGACTGATTTGGGTTGGGATTGGAATTTGGATGTGGTTTTGTTGATGTCCTATGATGGATGAGTCGGTTGGTGCGGAGGCTAAGTGTCGATGTTGATGTTTGGAAGAGAGAGTGCAAGAGGCGCGAAGGGTGGAGTGGCAGCTTCTTGTACAGCGCGCGCCCCGGGTGGAGCCGCATTTTAATCACAGCGGAATTTGGGTGATGTGATGCGATGCGCGCCTGCGATTGATTGATTTCGCCGAATCCCCCCACACTGGCCACTACTTCATATACTGCGCAACCCCAGCAGCGACATCAACTTCTTGCTTCCTCTTTCTCTTCCAAACATCAACAACACCAGCTCACACATCCACCCATCGCCATCCACGACATTCCCATCTCCCAAACCAACTCAAGCACATCAACACCATCAAAATGACTGGAGGCAAATCCGGAGGCAAGGCCAGCGGTGCCAAATCTAGCGCTCAGAGGTGTGTATTCCCATCTTCCCTCACTGATCCATCACTTCTGGATGCCTTTGACGCGCTTTTCCGATCCAAAACAACGCGTCTTTTCACTTCAATCCTCTCGGTCGTATACTGACATCAATTCTCTTTCATAGCCGTTCCTCCAAGGCCGGTCTCGCATTCCCAGTCGGTCGTGTCCACCGTCTTCTGAGGAAGGGCAACTACGCACAGCGTGTTGGTGCTGGTAAGCTATCCATTCATGTCACTCACTTCGGCTCATCTTAACACTCCTTTCTCAGGCGCCCCCGTCTACCTCGCAGCCGTCCTCGAGTACCTGGCAGCTGAGATCCTCGAGTTGGCTGGCAACGCCGCTCGTGACAACAAGAAGACCCGTATCATTCCCCGTCATCTGCAGCTCGCCATCCGCAACGACGAGGAGTTGAACAAGCTTCTCGGCCACGTCACCATCGCCCAGGGCGGTGTCTTGCCCAACATTCACCAGAGTAAGCTTCATCATCCTATCCACCTCTCGCATACAACCACTAACACCTACTTCCCTCCAGACCTCCTCCCAAAGAAGACCACCGGCACCAAGGGCGCTTCCGGCCCCAGCCAAGAACTGTAGATGCCTCTCGCGTCTCCTTAGTTCTCAGTCTCTCTTACCTCCTCCTCAACAATGATTCACAACACAGGGTACGGCGTCGAAGGTGCTTGAAACTTTTGACATGATGATAATGGGCTTCATCAATGGTCTTCGGGGGTGGATATGATGCGCGATCATCATGGGCCTTTTTCCTTTTATTGCTTTTTGACACGCATCTGATCTCCTGAAGCGGAAGCAGTGAGAGAAAGCTGTACATTATGCGCCCGAGAAGATGTGAGAAGCCTGGCATGATGGTGGTGGCTACGCAGCGCGTTGAGCTAGCTTTATGATGATACCAAATGGAGCTTTCTGATCAGATATCTTCTCTCGTTCGTGCACTTCTCGCATCGTCTCCTCACCCTCGTGTCTCTGAACCATGTCCTCTTTGACAAGCAAGTGCATTCAGTACTGGTCTTCTATCTAGTTTACTCATGTTCGATCGCGAGACTGCAATAATAATACTTCGCAGCATATCGTGTAGAACACCGACCGGATACATGTATGTCTCACTCGAAGGTTCACGGGAGTACTTCTCATGTCGTCGGCTCACAGACCACTGCTGTCCTTTGAATGGTGACACAGCTCTCCCGCTACATGCTCCATAGCTGTCTATGATTGCCACTGCTAATGCAATATGCTTCTGCTATCTGCACCGATGAATTGACTGCGAGACGTGTTGAGCTTGCTGACATCGCCGGAGCTCCACTAAGGTATGCACCGATGTAGCATTTCAGCTGCTGCTCGGAGTCCGTAATCGAAATAGCATAACAACTTCTTCATTACAGGTAGTAGGACGACTTTCTCTCCCATCCATCCCGTCTTCTAACGTACACATACATGCTCGACTCACCGTAGCAAGGACGAAAAGAAAAGCGTGGCAGCCCCAGCCCACTCACCACACCACACCAACCCACTTACAACCCTCACGATGGACACCTCCCGCGCCCCAACCCCCCGCGACACCACCCCCCTCCCCCGCATCCTCTGCCTCCACGGCGGCGGCGTCACAGCCGAAGTCTTCCGCATGCAAGCCCGCTCCCTCATCAAATTCCTCCCGGACTTCCGCCTCGTCTTCGCCGACGGGCCCTTCTACTGTAACCCCGGCCCGGGCATCGTCCCCGTCTACGAGGACTGTGGGCCCTTTCGCCGCTGGCTGAGGTGGTTACCCGAGCATCCCGCTATTGATGATGAAAGTGCGGTTGAGGAGGTTATGTATAATATTAATACTGCCAAGGAGGAGGATGAGGGTACTGGGCCTTGGGTGGGGATTTTGGGGTTCTCGCAGGGGGCGAAGTTGACGAGTTCGTTGCTTTATGAGCAGCAGGTTCGGCTTGAGAAGGAGGGAAAGAGTGGGACGGAGTATAAGTTTGGGGTGCTACTAGCGGGCAGGAGTCCGATTGTTTCGTTCTCGGATTTGAGCAGGAGTTCGGCTACGGTGGCGGCGGGAGCGATTAGTGAGGGGTTTCTGTTCGAGGGGGTGTCGCCGCATGTGTTGAGGATTCCTACGATACATGTTCATGGGCTGAATGATGCGGGGCTGCATTTGCATCGGAAGATGTTGGGTCAGTATCATGATCCCGAGACTGTTACGGTGATTGAGTGGGATGGGACGCATAGAGTGCCGATCAAGAAGATGGATGTCGAGCCGATTACGGATGCGATATACAAGCTTGCAAGGGAGCAAGGTGTGGATGTATAGATGGACAGCGGGATACTACTCTATCGCGTTGTAGATCCTCTCCTCCAGTGCCTGGATGGTCTCTCGACTCGTGGTCATGGCTCCCATGGCATACCACACATTACCCAGGACCCGGGAATGCACGACCCAATCCTCGCCTGGACTGCCGGCTAATAGCTTGTCTCGGAGACTCCATGCCGCCTTCGAAGCATAGCCCTGACCATCGGCGTCTTTGAGTGAGATGGCGAGGACAGAGCCGATGGCGAAGACGGAGTCGACTTGCGATCTGTGTGAGACGGCTTTGACGAAAGCCTCCGACCACATGCTCCAGACACCCTCATCTTGCTTGGACTTGGCGGAGGTGGAGAGCTGCTCATTTCCCTGCCACTGCCCCTTAAAGCCTTTCCAGTCAGCACTATCTTGCAGCTTCGCCATAACCTCAAGACTCTTGTTAGCAACCGAGCAGCCAATCGGATGCGCCGTATAGCTGTGGCCATGCAGCAGAGCATCAGTCTTGTCATTACTCAAGAAAGCCTCGAAGATGCTTTGGCTGGCAGTTGTGGTGCATAGTGGCAGCACTCCACCCGTCAGCAGCTTGGCGTTGGCCACAATATCTGGTTGGACATCCAGGAAGGATGCAGCGCTGAACCGGCCAAGGCGGTAGAGACCAGTGAAGATTTCGTCGAAGACGACTGGCATTCCTGTCCAGGCTAGAGGGTCGTTGTTGCTGCTTGGATTATGATCATAAGCACGGGCGGCTTCAACAAGGCAGCGTTGGTACAGTGGGTCGGCGAAGAGCATGCCACCTGCGCCTAGGATGATGGGCTCGAGTATTAGAGCTCCGAACTTGACACCCTTCTGGTGCAGCTCGGCCAGATCATGGTCCAGATGAGTTCTGTATGCCTTGGCGTCCGTCTGCCTGCTTGAGATGTCGAAAACAGCATCTAGACTTTCGAAAGTCTTCACCTCTCCCTCATCGGCAATTACCGGTTCGATAATCCACTCACCCTTGCTCATCTTCACAGTGGGGAAATCCATCCAGTGGCCTCGTCCAGTATACCACGGTTCTTTCTTATTATAGATACTCGGCTCACTAGCGTCCATGGTCCCGATCGTGTCGCCATGATAGCTGTTCTTCAATCCTAAGATCTTGATGTCGTCCTTCTGCGCATCCCAGCCGTACCGTGTCGCCGCAGCACGAATCCCCATCTTCACTGCCACTTCCATGCCTGCGCTTCCATTGTCTGTGTAGAAGACTTTGCTTAGGCGAGCATTGCCCATTGAGATTAGAAGTGTCTGGGCAAGACGCAAAGCAGGTTCGTGCACGGCGGAGGCAAACATGACATGGCCGTACCTTCCGGCGGCATGAGCGGCTGTCAAAGCCAGATCTGGATTGCCGTGGCCTAGACCTTGTGTCCACCATGATGCTGATGCGTCGAAGGCTGGCTTCAGGACTGCGGGTTCGGATGTTGTCGAGGGATTCTGCTGGGTGGTGTGAGTCTGGAAGTAGTCGCCATATGCTGAGTCGATGGCAGTAATGGTGTTGGCGGAGCGCTCGCTGTGTTGCATGAAGGGATGCCATATGGCTTCCACAGCTTCGGCGGGCATTGATTGGATATTCGAGATGCGTTTGTCGTGGGCGTCGATGAAGGTATTGGTGAAAGCTGTCACGTCTTGTAACGACTCGGACGCCTCGTAGTACTGCTGCATAGCTCGAGCATCGTCACTCGCATCCGGTCGTCTTTCAGGTGGCGGCGGTATCGAGAAAGCATGGACGTGGCGGTCGGCGAAGTACTCTTTCAGGTAGCTGTGGTTGTCGTATCGTCCCTCCGAGAACAACGCAACGGACTGTACATCGTAGCCCCGAATGTGTAACGACTCCCACGCAGAGATTGTGGTTCCTATCCCGCCTAGTTGATGGTCTCCAACCAGGAATACAGGTAATCGAAGCGGTCGATATAGATCTGCTTGTGAGTTGCCACTTGGTGCAGGGGAAAGTACACCGCCAGCAGTCTCCACGATCGCGACGCTATCCTCGCCGGTACTGTATGACCTCAGCTCGTCGTAGACCGCTGCTTGTATATCACGGTCGCTACACGGCTGTGCTCTATTAGTCTCGTATAACCAAGGTAACTGACGGTGATACATGCCTGCGATGACGACCTTGCAGCTATATGTGGGCTCACAGGCTCCGCGAACTGATACAGACATCGAGCCTTGACATTCTTACTCAATGTAGAGAGATGCCTGGTCGTTGTATCAGCGAAAGTGTTCCTCGTCGATGCTTACCCAAACCCTAACCCTAAAGACACGAGCAACCATATCTCGACCGGAAGGGCACTTGAGAACAGCAGTGAAGCTTAGAGAGCACGCTCATACTGGTGGGATATTGCTCACCGATCATCAGCTTCCTCCTGTGGTCCAGTAGACACCGGCTTCAAATAATGCACCTTCTTAAATCTTCTTCGAAAAGCTCGACAAAGAATCGACGAGAAGATGGTCTTCCCAATACCAGTATTCGCTCCATAGACCTGCAAGACTCGTAGTTTCGGCCATAGTACCGAGCCGACCTGCCTCATCCCGACAACGCCACAATGAAAGATAAGACGAGATGTATGATGGAGCTGTCGTTGCACAAGATCGTACCTGCATGAAGTTGATCTCACAAAGGCGGCCGAGGCCCGAAGCGCGGTGAAGCCATTGGGAAGTCTAAATGCTCACACAATACATATATTTGAGCCGCCATCATTTAGGTCAAAGACAGACCAAGATATCTCTCTCACGCCTCATCTACTCTGCCTAGGACTCTGGAGCTGACACAACATGCAACATCATAATGTCTAATGTCGCCACTAAAAGCAATCCCTCTAGTCTGGAAACCACACTAAACCATTCCCTCGATAAACGACGATCTTCATCCACGATCCGACGCCTCACGACCACGAAATCAATAGATGTGGATTTCTCCTCCAACGACTTCCTCTCCCTCGCCACCAACCCAGAACTCCGACGGAACTTCCTCCAAGAACTGGAACGCAGTCCCGCATTCAACAGAACAGGATCGACCGGCTCTCGCCTCCTAGACGGGAACTCGAATTATGCTCTAGATCTAGAGAAGCAGATCGCGCGATTCCATGGTGCGGAAGCGGGATTACTATGTAACTCGGGCTTCGACGCGAATGTGGGGTTGTTTTCCTGTTTGCCACAGCCGGGGGATGTGGTGGTGTATGATGAGTTTATTCATGCTAGTGTTCATGATGGGATGAGATTGTCCCGGGCGGGGAGGTTTTGGGGGTTTAGGCATAATGATGTGCTGGCTTTGGAAGGGGTTGTGCGAGGACTAGTGGACGGGGATGAGGCGGTGAGGGGCGGGAGGAAAAATGTTTTTGTGGCTGTGGAGGGGGTGTATAGTATGGATGGTGATGTGGCGCCTATTGGGCAGATTACGAAGGTACTCAAGACGCTGCTGCCGAAGGGTAACGCACATCTCATCGTGGACGAAGCACATAGTACAGGTCTTTACGGCTCCGGTGGTCGAGGGCTCGTCAACGCTTTGGGTCTGGAAGACGCAATCACAGTCCGACTTCACACTTTCGGCAAGTCGCTTGCTTGCAATGGCGCCATTCTATTGTGCAGTCCGACGATCCGGGAATACCTCATCAACTACGCCAGACCGATGATATACACGACGTTCATGTCCTATCCTGCTTTGGCGGCTATCAAAGCCTCGTATGACTTCCTCTCGGCTGGGAAGACGGAGCACCTGGCGGCGAATTTGGAGATGTTGATACAGGATTTCCACCAGCGGCTACTGGGCTTGCAGGCTTCGCTTCTGGCTGTTTCGGATGCCGAACATGCGCGGGCGTTACTGCGTGTACCAGCCGAGTGTCCCAAATCGCCAATCTTTGCCGTGCTGTCGTCTGAGCCAAAGGTTCTGGCGGCGCATTGTCAAGCAGAGGGCTTTACGGTTCGTGGGATTGTGCCACCGACTGTACCGTTGGGGACGGAGCGGATACGGGTATGCCTACATGCTGGTAATACGGTGGCGCAGATTGATGGCTTGGTGAAGGTGATTCGGAGTTGGGTGGAGACGCGGAGCAAGGCGCTTTTGCGTGATGCCGAAGGTTCCCGACCAAGGCTGTAGATCAGTTCCATAGGACCAATAGAGTTACTACCATCGTCGGCCTGAGAGGATTGCATTGAGACTGCCGTCTTCATTTGTATTTTCTTTCATACAAGTGCGGGTAGACTGCCACCATATGTACATGCCATAAAACGCCATTCCCTCGTCCCACACTTCTATACATGCATATGTGGCGGAGCTGTGCGGGAGTCAGTATATCAAGTCGTAGTCGGTCGCGTAGATTTGGGGTTAGCCTTACGCTCTGTTGTATGTGGTGACAGGTTGCGCTCATACTTGCTTCCACCGGGAGCCGTGGGTGGTCGGTATGGATCTGGGTGTTTCCATTTCTGTAGGATGGCCTCGGTCTCGTCGATCAGTGCCTGCCAGATCATCAGTACTGCGTTATAACAGGTGATTCCTCTTCGATAACGCGGAGCTCGGTGTCTGTGTGTATGCCTACTTTTTGCTGTCTTGGCTGACTGATATGCTTGTTCGCTTCGAAGAGGGATCGGATGTAGACTGCTTGGCCGCGCCAGAGGTATCGGTGGATGGTCCAGTCGAGGGCGAGCTTGAGGGAGCGGCGGTAGAGGTGCCTGTGGAGTAGCAGAGGTGTCAGTGGTGGTGTCCTAGCCCAATGGCTCGCATGTCCTGCTCACAAGACCTCGAGTCGGGCGGCCATGGTGTGCCGGTCGTAGCTGCTAGTCCACCTTCGGCTCAGTTCACTCTTCCGTTCGCTGTGAAAGGAGAATGTGACCACCTCCAATGTCGTCTTGTTGCCATCTGCGTCCGAGTGCTCTGTCTTGATGCTGGGGTCAAGCGAAACGCTCGGACCATCCGTTTCACTTTCGGCTCGAGACGGGTGACGGACCAGAAGCTCACAGCGAGCGATCTTCAAACCTGCAAACACCGCTCTCTATAATCTGCTCTACAGCCCCTACCTTACTCTCCCCTACGACCATACCAATTCGCCTTGGCTTGATACTGGGAGCTACTCAAAGGCATACTGCCGTCTCTCGGGATCATGTCGAGCTCTCAATGCCTCCGCCGTCTGGCCACTGGCACGAGAGCTGCGTCACAACTCCTGCGATCAACACCTCGGTGCTCTGGACACAGCTTATTACGGTGTACTGCCGGCCTCAGTACTCTTTCCCGCTTTTCGAATGTCTCGGGAGTGTCTGTTGCTAGCTTACGACCACAGTCAGTCCGGCACAATGGCACGGTGTACCGCTTAGAAGACTGATATGGCTGGCAGAACAGCTATCCTTCCTACGCAAACTCGCCTGTTCAGCCTCACATCCCGCAGCAATGGTTCGTTACGGAATGAGCTTGGAAAGAAGCCATCAGACTAATACGGCACAGAGGAGAAGATCGTCAAAGTGCCAGACATGGCCGAATCCATTACCGAAGGTACCCTCAAACAATTCTCGAAACAGGTCGGCGACTACGTTGAGCTGGACGAGGAGATTGCCACCATCGAGACCGACAAGATCGATGTCGCAGTCAATGCGCCTGCGGCTGGTACCATCAAAGAATTCTTGGCAAACGAGGAGGATACTGTGACAGTTGGTCAGGACTTGGTCAAGCTAGATCTTGGCGGCGAGCCTGGCCAGTCATCAGAGAAGGCAAAGGACGAGCCCAAGTCACCAGCATCCGACGCACAAGAAACCTCTTCCCAACCAGAAGGTGGAAAGGAGGAATCAAAGTCTTCGCCAGCACCACCACCCAAGCAAGAAGAAAAGAAGCCGGAACCACCAAAGCAAGAGTCGAAGCAACAACCGCCAAAGCAAGAGTCAAAACCTTCGAAACCTTCGCCTGAAAAGCTGCCTACTGAGCAAAAACCCAAGGTCGAGTCACCATACGGTAGCCGTGAGGAGCGCAGAGTGAAGATGAACCGCATGCGTCTCCGTATCGCCGAACGTCTGAAGCAATCGCAAAACACCGCCGCCTCCCTCACCACCTTCAACGAAGTCGACATGTCCGCCCTCATGGACATGCGCAAGCGCTACAAGGACGAGATCCTCAAGAACACCGGCGTGAAACTCGGGTTCATGAGTGCCTTTTCCAAAGCCGCCATTTTGGCTATGAAGGATATCCCGGCTGTCAATGCTAGTATCGAGGGTCCGGGTGGTGGGGATACGATTGTGTATCGGGATTATGTGGATGTTTCCGTAGCGGTGGCGACGGAGAAGGGGTTGGTGACGCCTGTGGTGAGGAATGCGGAGGCGTTGGATCTGGTGGGGATTGAGCAGGAAATTGCGAATTTGGGAAAGAAGGTATGCCGTGCATTACATTTTCGGAAGATAAGAGGCTGGAGTATGGCTTTTTTACTGACTCTGATTGATGCAGGCCCGCGATAACAAACTCACCATCGAAGACATGGCTGGCGGCACCTTCACCATCTCCAACGGCGGCGTCTTCGGCTCGCTCATGGGTACGCCTATCATCAACTTGCCACAGACTGCTGTGCTCGGCCTGCACGCCATCAAGGATAAACCTGTCGCTATCAATGGAAAGGTGGAGATCCGACCGATGATGTATTTGGCGTTGACGTATGATCATCGGTTGTTGGATGGACGGGAGGCGGTGACGTTTTTGGTCAAGATTAAGGAGTTTATTGAGGATCCGAGGAAGATGTTGTTGGCATAGATGTGTTTGGTGAGTGGGAGAGGATGAGGATGTGGTGGGGAGGAGTGGGGGAGAGGAGATGGTTGGGATGTGCTTGTGGTGGGGTGTTGATGCTGCTAGGTGATAGCGTTATGCCTCATCATGAAGTGATAGTTGACTGTACAAAACGTGTATTCTGCTGACTACTAGACCATATGTTTTCCATCCTCCTAGCTCTTGCCTGGCTAGCTTGACGCGGTGGTCTGTGCAAGAACGCGATCTGCCGAATGCTCTTCCACTTGACCTCCGTCTCTCTTTACCTCACCATGCATTGCATGTCGAGCAAGCAGATCAGCATCGAAGTGTCTGCTGCGTTCACACCCATTCACTTCTCGTATAGGTTACCGTGGCAAGTATATGAGCTCCTTTGATCAGACAATCTTCACGATTGCCATCCTACACTTTCTTCCAGTTGACGTACGAAGAGCTACCACAGGCAGAGAGATGTTGCCGTGATGATACCGACACGTGAAATGGATCCGAACAGGAAGTATAGTATTGCGATCGCGTGGGAGGGGTTGTAGGCGGTTCGATTACACAGCTGCTGGACTCCTTCATGCTGGGAGTGCCGGTGGAGATATAGCAAGGTGGCGCCAATGACCTGCCCTGGCCTGAGCACATCGCATCGCATCACACCACACCCCACCATACCACAATCAATTCTACCCATACTCACGCAACCGCCATGCTGCTCCAGCCCGCCCTAGCCTTTGCGAGGATACGAAAGGCGCAGGCGTCTGTCTCCTGCGGTCCCAACGCCGCGCATGCTAAGCAGCGATGGATATGGGAGCATGATTTGCAAGCTGACGTCAAAGAGGTGAAGAGACTCTAGACGGCACAGGTGTGACTGCAGTTCTGGAGCCTGTAGGTCTTCACTGTGTTCCGGACCCTCATTGAACTATCGCCTCCTTCCAACCCCGCCCTCTGCTCCACCTCCCCGTTGATCGAGTGCAACCACCTCGCTAATCCCCGCTGCCTCCTGCTCATCCTCCAGTCCCTGGATCTCCTCCCTCACATCCCACCATTTCTGCTCCGCGCGCGCGAAGGCCTTTTTGCGGATCTCCTTGACCGAAGTGGCGTCCACGTCGCGCTGGTATTTCAGCCAGTCGAGGTGCACGTCTTGCCAGTCGTTGGAGGTGCGGGTGAAGAAGTCGCGGAGGGATTCGAAGGGGCGGGGGTGCGGGAGTCTGTCGTTGGTTGATGTGTCTGTGGTCTCTTCTTCCTGAACATCTTCCGCGAGCTGGGCAGCTGCGGCAGTGGCGTCTTCGCTGGGTGCGATCGATGTGGCAGGTGTACTTGGCGCAGCTCCCTCCTCTGCCTCCTCGTCCTCGGAGTCATCGGAACCATCATCTTCGTCGTCCTCTTCACTGTCTTCGTCTTCACTGCCCTGCCAATCCTCGATCTCCCGCTTGAAGACTTCTCTACATCCATCTAGCTTTCCAAGATCAATCGCCCACATCTCGTCGAATGTGTACTCGCGATCTCCCTTCTCGAAAGTGCCACCGAAGATATACAATACATCCTCTTGCACCGTCAGCTGTGCGTTGAAGCGTACATGCGGCATCTCCCACATTGTCGGCTTCTCGACCTTCTCGGATTCGTCAGCAGCATCGGCCTTGTCAGCGTCAGGCATCTCAATGTCCGCTGTGCCTTTGCCTTCTATTAGAGCTAAGTTCCGCAGTAGTTCTTCCTCATCTGCTTTACCCCTCCCTCTCCGACTTCGATCAGCTGCACCAGCGACCTTCTTAGCTGAAGTTCGTGGCCTTCGCAAACCCAGCTGAAAGAATCGATTGCGGTCTATGTTGTAGGCAAACAATTGATTGAAGAACTCGCTGTCGATGCCCTCCTCACTCTCCTCCACGTCATGTACACCACCAAAGCAGATTCCACGTCCCTTGTGATGGGCCATTGTCGCTCCGGCTCGAGCAGGATTGGGTGTATTTACTGGTCGCTTTCTCCTCTCCCACCTCACAGTCGGCAGCGCATTGGCTGGCGCGTCTGAAGCTGGAGGCGTGATCCGTAGGTACCAAGTATCCTGATGCACGACAGGTTTCATAATGACTCTCGATCCCAACTTGCCACCCTTCGAAGCCCTTGCCGCCGTTGTGGCGACTTTGACTCGTGAGTACCCTCCATACAGCACAGCTCCAGACTCGTGTGGGAGTAATGAGAAGGAAGACCTCGCATCTGGTTTCCCAGCTGCAGGAGGTAGTTTAGGCTCATGCCAGCTGAACTTCTGTGTATCATACAGCCACACGTCCTGGAGATACTTTGTCTGCTGACTCGTATCCTGGAAGCCACCAAAGAGAACAATGTAGTTCTTGAAATAAGTCATACGATGTCCACTTCGCGCAGGCGGTCCACCTTTCCCTTCCAGCTTCGTCCATTCCCGTGAACTGGGCTCTAGTCTCCAGAAGTCGTTATAGTGGTAGAATGTCCCTTGTTTGGGACTCGAGAACTCACCGCCGAAGACATAGATCCCACCACCGTTGCCTCCCTGACACATGGCATGTCCGGAGCGAGGGAGTGGCGAATTCGGACTTGTGACTTTGCGCCACGAGTCCGAGTTTGTCTTGTAGACGTAGAGGTCCGCAAAGAAAGATACCAGGGCCCCGTTGTAATACTCGCCGCCGAAGAGGAAGATCTCACTGGCATTCGCTGGCGAGGCTACTAATGTCGCTGAGGAGCGTGGCGAGGGTGGCTCGGACACAATCTCGGTGACTTTGAGGAACTGTTCTTGTTGCTTCTGGTATTCGGCCAGGATTGCGTCGAGGTCGGCATCTTCGGCGTCGCTGTCGTCGTCTTTGCCCTTCTTCGTGATCTGCTTCTTCTCGTTCTTGGACGACTTCTTCTGATGCGAGGCTTCTTTTCGTGCCTTTTTCTCGGCTTTCTTTGCTGCTTCTTTTCCTTTCGCTTTGACCATTGCGAACGCCGTATACGGAATTAGAAAGCAGTCAGTAGATAGAATCCCGACTGTGCAACTCTGTCACTCTTGTATTATTGCAATATATGTGGTGGCCTCTACAAAAAGTCCGTTGTGTTGCGAGAATTCCACCTTCTCCAAACTCCACAATCTTGAACATCCGTAGCGCTCGTTTGTCCTCGCATGTTGCGCCTCGCTCGAAAGATGTCCACGATATCGCCTGCCAAGATCGTGAGTCAGAGGACGTATCAGGTTGCCGGTAGGTGTGCATAAGACGAAAACGATGGCCCAAAAGTCACACCCATACTCACATCTGGTAGGCAAACAACAGGTTACGGAGCACTTCTTTGATGTACCAAAGGATTACAGTAAGCCGGACGGTGGGTCTTTGCGACTCTTTGCCAGAAGTGTGAAGAAGCATGATACCTCAGTCGTCCCCGAGACGCCAAAGGATAAGGATCAGCTACCATGGATGTGCTATCTCCAAGGCGGTCCAGGAATGTCTTGTCGCTCTCCTCAGAACTACAGCTTTACGCAGCCAATACTAGATCGTGGCTACCAGCTACTCTATCTCGACCAACGAGGCACAGGTCTGAGCTCTCCCGTCACGGCCTCGACGCTGCAAATGCGTGGCGTTGACGAAGTGCAGGCAAGATACTTGAAGCTGTATCGCGCGGACTCGATCGTGAAGGACTGTGAAGCTATACGACAAGCACTGACCGCTGATTATCCCGAGGAGAAGAAGAAATGGAGTACGATTGGCCAGTCTTTTGGTGGATTCTGCACCATGAGCTACCTCTCCTTCCACCCTGAAGGACTTCGCGAGTGCTTCGTCTTCGGTGGTCTTCAACCTCTAGTCGACTCACCAGATGAAGTCTACCGCCGTCTCTTTAAGAAAGTGATCCAGCGTAACCAGACATACTACGCCAAATTCTCAGAAGATATTGCGAGGGTCAAGACCATAATGAACTACCTCTCACGTTTCGGTGATGGCAAGATCAAGCTTCCTTCCGAAGGCACCCTGACACGCCGCCGCTTCAGACAGCTGGGCATTGTCCTCGGCTTCCACGGCGGAGTCGATATGCTTCACGAGATCGTGCTAAAAGCCAGTATGAATATTGAAGCATTCGGTCACTTGACCCGCCCAACGCTTTCTGCGATCGACGGTGGTTCGTCATTTGATGACAACATCCTCTATGCTCTCATCCACGAACCACTCTACTGTGCAGGTAATGCACCGAAATGGTCCGCACACCGCATGATGGACGAATACAAAGACCTCTTCACCCTGGACAAGCCAGCAAACGACGACAATCAACCTATCTTCTTCACAGGCGAGATGGTCTTCCCTCACATGTTCGAAGACTATGCCGAGCTACGCAAAGTTGCGCCTGTCGCTGAGATGGTTGCGAATGACTCTTCCTGGCCACCTCTATTCGATGAAGAACAGCTCGCAAAGAATGAGGTCCCGGTCTACTGCGCGTCGTACACGGAGGACATGTATGTTGACTTCGATCTCGGGATGGAGACTGCGAAGAAGGTGAAGGGCTGTAAAACCTATATCACGAACGTCATGTTCCATGATGCCATGAGGAGTAAGATGGACGAGGTGATCAAGGCGGTGTTTGCGCTGAGAGACGATCTTGTGGAGTGAGCAGAGCGGAGATCAAAAGCATACCTCTAGTCTCAAACCACACATCTCGCAATCTCTACACTCGTAATCTTGAAGGATGGCGCAAAAGGGAAGGCACACCCTGCGTGGTGTGGCGAGCGTTCATTCGTGGCACTGTGTGCAACACGTACGTTACTTGCAAAGATCTAGCTACTCCCCTGTTCGTGCGAGCTGCGCAAAGTTTCATATATGCATCCTTGACCGAGCCGAAGAAGCGCCGCAGCGAAGTCAGTGAATGGAGAGGCTGGGCTAGAAGGCTCTGTACGAGAGTGGTGCTGCTTATCTGAATGAAGAGTATATCAGACTACCCTTTGCCTGATGATGGCTCGGATCCATTGATGGTACCAACACGCGGGAATCTCCCAGGCATGGGCAACACAGCATCACTGTCTCGGTGAGATGCGTAACCTTGGTTTGTCCGACTGCCAGCACTCTCATCACCTTGCTTCTTCGCATTGTGCTCCAATACCTTCAAGAGCCTCTTCAGTACCCATTTCGGCTCGCTGCCATCCTTCAGATCCATCAAGGGCGACTCTTGTCCCATCCATGACCATTGCTGGTGCTTGCCTTGAAGTGGAGGAAGTCCTACTTCTATTCCCTTGCCGGTGGACAGACCGACCCTGCGGTGGCCTGACTCGTCTGCCTCATCTTCGCCCAGTAATTTGAGAAGCCACGTCCATTCTGTGTAGGTGTACTTCCGTGGTGGTCGTTCATCGACATGCTCCATGACCTTCTGAGCAGCTCGAGCTATGATATACGAGCGGTATGCTTTGTTCGAAGATCCCGAGCTCATATCGCCGAAAGCGTTCTTCTCGGCGTCGTCCGAACCCATGTCACCTTTTTCGCTATCTGCGATGTCTTGGAACGCACCCACGTTTGTCGTCGTCTGGTCCTCAGAGGCCTCTCTGATACACTCCTGGACTTTGGCAGGTCGTTGAGCGATCTTTCGAGCCAGGTAGGTGATCTTCGGAGCGATCTTTGGTATCCATAGGCTGAACCAGTTTACAGCATCTGTGACGGCGTCTCCGACAGCACCAATCAGCACTGTAAGGGTTGGAAGAGCAAGCAATGCCCAGAAAACAAAAGCTGGCTTGGTTGAATTTGTCTGCGGGTGAAAGTCACCATAGCCGACGGTTATCTGGGCAACGTATGTGAAGTAGATGGTCTCGAAATATCTGCGAACGTATGTCAGTCGTTTGATGCACGCCCTTAGTAGCGAGTCTTCTTGTGGCCATACGTCCAATTATCGCCACCAGTCGACGCCTCGGCTTCCCAGAGACACACTGCGCCCACGAACCACAACATCAGGAAAGCGGTCGTGGCTCTCAGAAGGGCGAGTGCCTTGTCGTTCCGTGCAGCGACCTTCTGCACCTCCCTCATGGCATTGAACTCTCTCTGGCGTGACTCTAGCTCAGTGGATGCTATCAGGTTTCGCCGCTTGTAGCCACGGATTTTCAGCACACCGTTCTCGGGATCACCACGCTTAATAGCCTGTACCATATGTGAGCCATAGTGCAATGAGGTAGTCGTGAAAATCGAGCCCTACCTGGGTTCTTGCCTTCTCGACGAGTCTCGTAGAGACCTTCAGGGATGCACTCTCTAGCACAAGACCACGAATATTTGCAATGATCAGACCCACAAAGACGATCCCGCCCAGAGCAAAAGGTAGAAACAAACCTCTACCTACGGTTGTTTCAGGCGCGAAATCTCCAAAGCCAATGGTAAAGAGCGTCACAACTGCAAAGTACACACAGTCCAAGTAGAGCCAGCCTTCGATTTGACGATATATCGCTGCTGTACCCAGTATATATCCCATGAACAACGTCGTATGGACCATCAAGCTACGCTGAGCTAAAGTAAGCTTAAATGAACCACTTATTTGCTTGTGCCATAACGAGTATGCTGTAAAAGCGAGCATGAAGGACAACGAGATATATATGAAACCGGAGAAGATAGCATAGTAATAAGCCTGCGACCATGTCGCAGTGCCGTAGCCAGTCGTTGGCAATGGCACATGAGCAGGCGCCGCAGCCACAATCGCAATATCGATCACGCCGGAGATGAACCAGCCGATTATCGTAATGGGCGCCGAGACGTTGAATCGTACGTGTTTGGTCATGTGCGACATGAGAGCAAGATTGGCTGTAATGGCGATAGCAATGGATAGAGCATTAATCCCTATCAGCCAGTTGGGGTCCGGGATATGAGGACCTTCTGCTTGGGTAGAAATCGGAGAGACGATGACTCGCCATGGGACGGCGACGGCGCAGATGTTGAAGGCTGAGGCCATTGGTCCGAAGGTGCCTGGGAGTTCACCACGATTAGCACCACTCGAACATCCTTGAGAGCCTTCTCAGCATACCTGCAACTAGTGGGAACAGTGTTGCAACTACCCACCACCGGATGGGAGCATTATAGTCTTGTACAATATCTTCGGCATCATTCTTGGCGAATCGAACGCGAGTTTCTTCCTCGGTGAAATTGCCATCGCCTTCAGTCTTCTGCTCGCTCAGATTGGTCCCATGGCTCTGCTCCTCGGTGAGAGGACCACTGCTTGACAATGTACCACCAACCACCCGGCCCGCATGCTCATCGTGGTCCTTCTTCTTTGACTGCACATCTCGAGGATTCAGTCCATTACGGACTTTCCTGCCAGTCCCGCCAAGGAACGGAATCTGTAGCCATCGAGAACTTTTCATTGTCGGACAGAGGTAGAGGACCAGAACCGAGACATGGCCGGGACGACTTGACTACCAGCTGCTGAGTGCGGTTACAGCAGTACATGACGACGGCGGAGCATTATAGGACCATCTGCGAAGTGTAGCCGTCGCGTGACGTTTTCCAAGCCCGTTGTAACGGACATCGAAAGTCAAACTCGAACTCTCGTCCCCACGAACTGAAGTATAAGTCAAAGATGCAGTAAGTATCGAGAGGAGAGGAACAACATTTCTGCCGCTATGCAGGTCAGATTCAAAGATGAGGTGTCGCTGCAACAAGCGGACGTGGCGGTGACGAACAGGAAAATGACCCTGAGCTTCGACAACACATCTTCCTCACCTCGAGGCCTGGCGAAATGTTTGCCGGCTGACATGTCCCATACGAATACACGTAAACACATTTGACTACGCCAGAATATCATCCAACCACCCAAGCTGCACCACGCTAACATTCCTCGCGTACGCCTTACTAGTGAAGACGAACTCCTGATACACTATCCCCTCCGCTTTCCTCCCAAACAACCAACTGGAAGGATGAATAGCTACTGTCTGATTACCCGAGAAAGTCTTGTAGCTCCCATCAGGACAAAGATGAGCAGTATTGGTGCTGAATCCAGCAAGGAAGCACCGAAGGATCTTCTCTGAGGTCTCCTCGTCCGGTTGTGTCGTCGTTGGTATGGATGAAGTGGAGGCCTTGGGTAAGAGCTTGGCTTGTAAGCACTGCGCCCACAGTTGTTTTCTTACGTCCATGACGTTTCGCATAGCGCGATGGCTTATCAGGTGGTCGTCTACCCATCTTTTGCGATCGCTGTTCTCGGCTGTGTAGCCTTGTACAGCAGCCAGGAGCGTGAGATGATCCCCTTGTCTTCGTTGCAGTTGCTGGCGTGCGATTTGTGCGCGCTCTCGTGCTTCCTCTGTCTCAACTGATAGCCATATGGTCTCGACGCTAAGGCAGGCGACGATGTCGATGACATGTGGGAGACATTGCTTCTCAGGCTTCGCAGCCTCAATGACGACTCGGCCCAGGGAGGGGGTGAGAGGCAGTCGAGCTATCTGCCGGCCTGCCGGACTGATCTTGCCATCGTCTTGCAGAGCACCGAGCCGATAGAGATGCAGAAGTGCCTTCTCCAAAGCTTCGCGAGACGGAGATGTGAGGAATGGGAAGCCAAGAATGTCGTCGACTCCTCGAGCTTTCATCGTCAGGACAGCTTGGCTGAGATCGCATCGCAAGATCTCTGGAGTAGGATCTTGGTCCAGGCTTTGATAGGACTGCTGCGTATAAAGGCGGTAGCATTGCCCTGCAGCCTCACGACCAGCACGACCTTGGCGTTGGTCGGCCGAGGAGCGCGAGATCGGTTTGATCAGAAGGGAGTCCAGGCCTATACTGTTTCGGAATTGCTTGATCTTCGCTTTGCCCGTGTCCACGACAAAACGCACGCCAGGTACTGTGACGGAGGTCTCCGCGATGTTCGTTGACAGTATCACCTTTCGAGTGTTGCGTGGCGCGGGCAGAAAGATGCGCTGTTGTGCCGCCTGTGGTAAAGCTGCAAATAGCGGCAGAACAAGAAGCTTCGGATAGTCGGAAGTCAAGCCTTGAGCATATTCTTCTACTAGCTTCTGTAGAGATTGGATCGATTCTTGGCCAGTCATGAAGGCCAGTATGTCGCCTGGCATGGGCTCCTTGCAGTGTATCTGGAATATGCGGTTGAGGGATGCTGCGATTACATCTTCGGTGGCGATATCGAGGTAGCGCGTGATGACTGGATACTGCCGACCTTCGACATGGCAGGTAGTGACACTGTCATTCTGTGAATGGCCATTGGCGGTGGCAGAGGCAGTACCAGGCTTCGAAACGTCGTCGGAAAAGCCGTCCCATGAGCCCTGATCATCGGCTCCATTACCTGCTGTAGCGTCTGTACCATTGATGACTACGGCAGTATCAGATTGCTGCGAAATGTCTTCGAAGAAACTTCGCAGGCCCTCGACGTCAGCCGTGGCACTCATGACCACAACTCTCAACTCTCTTCGTTTTCGGACCAACCCTTTCAGAAAGCCCAACAGTAGATCCACATTCACACTCCGCTCATGCACCTCATCAATGATAATACATCCATACTGTTTAAGATCGGCATCCCGCAGCATTTCCTGTAACAGCATTCCTTCGGTCAAGAACTTGATCCGCGTCCCAGGACTAGTGTTGTCGTCGAACCGTACTGAATAGCCTACCTTACTAGCAGGAGAGGAAGAACCAAGAGGAGAACCGAGTTCTTCTGCTACACGGCGTGCAAGCGATATAGCTGCAACTCGTCTGGGCTGCGTGACTGCAATTTTGCCTGATTTGCACCATGGTTCGTGCAAGAGAAACTGAGGAATTTGTGTCGACTTGCCCGAACCGGTCTCACCAGATAATATGAGGACTCTCCCTTGGCGCATGTATTGTCGTATGTCTTTTTGACGGGGCCATATCGGTAGGAGTTTGCGACTGTCCAGCAGCTTGACCCGTTTTGCCTGGAGGTTCGATGTCCCATCTTCGTGCTTTCGTTTCAATGGCCGAGAGACCTCCATGGTATGTTGCGGCAGGCCCATCAGGCCAAGATCGCCAGTGCCGTATTGTTTTCCTCAGTTCGGTGGCAGTTCTTTACTACGCCATTCACCTTGATTAATCCTACCTTAGAAATAATTCAATGTACGCTAACGCTGCACCCCGTATTTCTTGGCGTGCGTCAACGCGTATAGCAGCGCGTGCCTTTTGGAAGTTAAAGTGGGAATATATGAACCAAGAATCAGCAGTCTCTGTGACATCAATACAACAACCACCGGCACCATGCCTCTCGGCCTGCTACGTCGGAATGAAAAGACACAGCGCCCAAATGGCAACCTCAACTTCATCAAACCAGACGCTCATGCCTCGCCTGCAGACCAAGCCATCGCAACGGACTTCCTCTCACGCATCGCTGCACAATGTTACCCCGTTATGAAAGAGAACTGGATCTCGGTCATGACGCTGGAAGAGCACGCTCCGAATCCGGAGTTCCTCGGTCGCAACTTCAATGCCGGAGAATGCATTCAACTTGTGCTCAAGGACAAGCGAGGAAGATGGCTGAGCTTCAAGTTTGTGCAGATGGTTATGATGCACGAGCTTGCGCATTGTAAGCAGATGAACCATTCGAGATTCTTCTGGGATGTGCGCAACGAGTATGCCAAGACCATGGAGGGATTGTGGGCGAAGGGGTACAAGGGTGAGGGCATGTGGGGCAGAGGGAAGGACTTGGAAAGTGGCAGCTTTGTGCATGATAGGATGCCAGAGGATGCGCAGATTCCTGAGCACTTGTGTGGAGGCACTTATCGGCGTCGAGGCAAGAAGAGGAAGCGTGGCGCGAACGGAAGAGAGGATGGTGGTGAGAGATTGACTTATGCGGAGCGACAACAGAAGCGTATACAGAAGAAGTTTGGAAAGCACGGAGACGGCAATGCAATTGGTGATGATGAGCTGACCAGAGGCTACCTGGACAGGATGTCAGGCAAGAGGCATAGGGGAAAACCGACGGTGGCGAAGTCAAAACGTGGGCGTGATTTGAGAGCTAACGCTGCTCTGGCACGTTTCGAAGCGGAGAAGAGTGCCAAGATCAAGCAAGAAACGCCGGAGCTGGACGCTGATGATGGATCGGAGACTGAGTCCGATTATGGGTGGTCCAGTGAGGACGAGTCTGGTTCAGCTACTGGGAAGCACGCTGGCAAGATTCAAGATCGAAATGGTAATGATATGTTCAAGGTGTGTGGCGATGAGGCAGAAGAAGATGCTGGTGGGCAAGATGAAATGGATGAGTTGAGAGTGCTGAGCGGCAGGCCAAAGTCCTCTCTGAGAAACGATATGCTGTCTTCTGCAAAGCCTTCGACTGGTGGACATGATCCCTGGCCGAAACATGCAAAGGATGACTCGGAAACAGAAAGCGAGGCTGGCGGTGAGGACGAACAAATCACACAACCACCTACGAAAGCCACAGATCTTGCTGCCCTGCCAGTAAAGCAAAGTGCGCCGACCGTACCGACGGAACCTGGACCAGTCCTCCAATCATCAGAGTCGCATACTCAGCCCACGGTGAAGCAGCATATCTCGTCGCCTGACACCTCAGCATCACCAATTAACACTACGGCCTCGAGACGCAGTAACTGCCCGATTTGCTCTCTCGAGAATGACCCTCAAGCACCGACTTGTATGGCGTGCGCTCAAGTGCTCAAGCCTTCGCTTGTGAAGAACCATTGGCGTTGCAGGAGCGAGACCTGCTTGGCAAGCAAAGCTAAGTATGTCAACGCGGGAGATGTGGGCAGGTGTGGACTTTGTGGTGCAAAGAAGCCGGTGGATACTGCTCGCGATGTCGGTGATGGCAGGGCGATGGGAACGGTGGGTACTGATGTCCTGAGGTGGGATTGAGTGATTGAAAGACTCTTGGCATGGTATGATATGCGGCCCGCATGCAACGACGCCAGATGCATGACGTACAGTGTGATTTTAAGATACCCCCAATGTTTTTACGTAGAAATGCTGGTATGTTATTGACGACTACTTTCAGCATACCTCAAGCTATGTTTGCGCCAACATCATAGACGATGCCATCATGCATGGCAACTTACCACAGCGGTCAGACATAAAACGAGGTCGAGGTTGATCGTGTAAGGTCCTTCGCGTCTCGAACGTACCGCCTTTGTGTAAGACTCTCTACTCCTGGTGGGACAGTATCTGGTTTGTGCAACAAAGACATGTCGACAGCCGCTCGGCTGTCTTTGTGCTTATTGTCGACTGGGAGCGTACACATCCTCATATGCCACCGAACTGCCCCTACTGTCCATTACACATCGCCAGATCGGCACGACACTAATACAACCTCGATCCGAAAGTTGGACGGTGCCGAACCACAACTGCAATCATGAAGTGCACTCTCTCCCCAACCACAGTGCTCCTCGCTTGCGTCTCGCCCCTTCTGACCCTGGCTATGACTCCTGATCAGGCCAAGGTGCTTCAGGTCCTCGAGGATAAGTGCACCAAGAAGAGTGGTGGGTCCATCACCAATGCTATCGGGAAGTTTTGTCAAAACACTCATCTTATGTACGTATCTCTGGACTGAAAGCAGAAGATGGCGGGATCTCAGGGAGGTGATGGCCGGACTAAGCTTATGGGTACACGCTTCCTGAGCACGTCCCAACTACGCAGTACGCCGATGAGTCCTTCATGTGGTGACCTATCACGCTCGGAAGAGACTCACATCCCATTCGGGCCATGCTTGCTGTGCTTGCCACCAGTCCCTTCCCACCATCAATCCCGATCCCGCTTCTGGAGCTGACTACGATCCAAGCTGACAGAGTCCGGCTCACAGGGTTCCCTCCGACTGGGCAAAGAACGGCATGGACGGGTACAATAAGAACGTCCACATCTCAATCGATGGCCAAGATTGCATGTCGCAAGTCTTCCTTGCCCCCAAAAAGTCTTGCACTCACTCCATAATACCTTTTCCCATCCACAAAGACCCGAGAAGGAAGTCAGCTAATCGTGAGGCATCTGACTAGGTGGGGAGGACCCCAGTATGTTCCCCAAGAGATCTGCATGGAGCAGTTCTATGAATGTGTGCAAATGGCAATGCGGCGGGCGGCGATGATGCTAGGTATGGATGGCTGGGGAATAAATGTCAGCATTGGGTGGTTTCGGCTGGGAATTACATCGCTCAGTAACGACGGATCCGGGTAACACTTTAGTGGACTCATAACGGTTTGTATTTCTTGGTCCACTAGGAGGGAGAAGGCAAGATCAGCCCGTCTGATGTGTTGTGGCGGGTCCTTTATTACTCGTCTGTGGTCAATGTCGTCTTTGAGTGCGCTTCTATTGGCTACATGAATATTGACGTCTCTCTAAATGCGATTCTCCCCTCCAATTTGAGCTTCCAACAGAATCCATGTCCAAATTTTGATCAAGGTGGGGATAAGCATGGAGGAGCAACGCCAAGGGTTTCCCATACCCATCTATTGTAACCGGATAGTACGAATCTGGCAATGCGTATTCGGTATCTCGTTCTCCTTGGCACAGTATCATCATAACAACGATCACCTCAGACACGAACGATGGTTGACCGTACTATTGACGCTCGCTCTATGCTTGCATGTAGATGTGTTGAATACACAATGTACTACAAAGTACATGAGACTTGGTACTTGCCGTCAAGCCAGATGCACAACGATCACGACAACGACCACGACCACGACCTCTAAGAATGATGAAGACAAAGAACACAATCACGGGTAAGCCTCCGAAGGAATTCCTGGTCGTCTTCAATGCACAGGACGACGGCGCTGGCCGACCATACGCTTCCCGCAAGACTCACAGCAAATCGCGAGCTGGTTGCTTTGCTTGTAAGGCGAGACGCGTAAAGGTCAGCCGATCCTGTGTCTTTACATGTCAGCTTGCTAATGTCCATTACTTGGTACCAGTGTGATGAGCAGAAGCCTATTTGTATCCGCTGTGAACGAACGCGAGTACCATGTGTCTACGACACGCCTTCACCACCATCGAATGGCTGCTCCAGCCCTACCCCAGACACTGCCATGCACACCATGTCTGTGGCCCTTGTCTCGGCCCAGCTTAATGAGGTCTTTGCAAGCTCTGGGCTGGAAGGGCCCATGAGACGATCAAGTGGCGACGTACGTGCATTGCAGCACTTCCACGCCGTCACAGCGAGCACCATTGGACCACCATACATGACCTCCCTCATACAGGCAATCCTGCTACCAAAAGCATGGTACGATCCGGCACTTATGCATCTGGCCGTGGCAGTGTCTGCCGCACACCAAGGACGACTTCTCCGAGACACTCAAGACGAACATGCAGTCCGCCGGCTTCGCTTCACAGAAATACAACATTGGCAAACCGCTCTGGCACTACACCAGAAGCAAATGGCTGCAAAAGAGCTACCGCAGGACGTTGGTGCGCACGTGCTCAAACTATCGTTGACGGTCATCTTCACCTTCTCTCTGGATGATGACCTCCCCGTTGATACGTTTCTGTATGGCGAGGACGCTAAGATCGCACACGCAATGGCTCCTGTGGCCGCCTGCAATGGCTTTAGAGCTCTGCGGGTAATGACGAACTCTTGGGATGCTCTCGATTTGACATCTCCGTGGGCGAACGTGCTTACGTCTGCTGATGATGACGCCAGCACCTTCACTGACAAGCAGGCTGGAGTGGAAGGCTTGCCATCAGCATTCGTTGATCTGTGTAACCTCGACTGTGGCTCGACATCGGATAACAACGTGTATCACAGGGTTCTGCGATTGCTGACGCCACTTCTACAGCTTGAGCCAGGTCTCAACAATTTCGTACGGCTTCTAGCTTTTGGGGGCAGGATCTGGCTGGATGTCAAGTTGTTGGCTAGTCAGAGAGACCATGTCATATTACTACTCATCGCCTACTGGCTTGTCTTGCTACGTCAAGTCAATCAATGGTGGGTGCTGACCAGGGCAAGAAGTGCATGCGACGCCATTGTGAATTATCTATTGCAGAACTCCCAAGACCCGAAACTACACTACTTGCTCCTATATCCGGCTTCCTTCGGTGAGCGCGGACTTGATCGCATCTGGACGAAGCTTGTCCCTGCAAGAGCGGCGTCGCAGGTTTGAGAAAGGACCATTTTACGATGTCATGCCTGCATTAGGCTCCATTCTCTTCTCATCTTGGCGGCCGGGTCGCTTCAGGTACCTGCCCGGATGCCCATAAGCCAGCAAGAAGACGGCGACCACGACCGGCGCAAACTCCAGTGCTCCAAAATATGCTTCATGGACGGAGAGCGCGGACATCAGACCTTCGGCACCCTCAGCTACACGGAAGCATGTGCGTAAGAAGATCGCCAGAGTGGCAAGAATCAGCGTTGTCAAGAACACCGAGCTGACTTTGGCCGAGCTCTGACGTGCTCGGATCAGCGTCCAGCCAAGCACCACCAAGAAGATGGCAAATGAGGCGACCTGTATCGATAAGCCTGCGAGGAGGATGTTGCTCGGTGTGGTTGGGTCCTTTTCGTTGGAGTAGGCTACTCCAACCAAAGCTGCACCAGCTATCTGTATGATTGTAGCGACGACGTCGAACGTGATGAAGACCCCTAAAATGACATTCGGTGGCAGGACGGCGTGCTCGCGGCCGTATATGCTGATGAGGACGGAGACGATGGTGTAAATCGCGGCACTGAAGAAGACTGGGGCAACAACAATGGTGAAGTATTGCACAACAAACCATGGCTACCGCACATATCAGCAACCTATCGTCCTTATGGCGCAAACTTCGGATGATCAACTTACGATAGAATACGGATCCTGCTGGCTCGAGAGTATACGGAAGATGTAGCCCACAATCTCAAGCACGAGCCCGACGAGCATAGTACTGAAGTACCATGTCTTCGTCTTGAGAAGCAGCCAGAGATGGAGACCACTTGCTAAGAGAAATAACGCTACGCCGAGGATACCGACTGCGAGACTGGGTGTATATCTAGGAGATGTTGCGTTAGTTTTGATTGTCTTTGCTGCGATCCTTTGATCTTGCTGGAAGGTTGACTGCCATACCCATAGATTACTATCCTCGCGTCATGCGGTCCCATAGGATTAGGAAAGTTGGGGTCGACATAGCCCACAACCATAGTTGTTTGTGATATCTAGAGAGAAGTGAAATGATGGCGAGGTTTCGCGATGGTCGGCGAAGATGGAGTGCGCGAGGAACGGGTTTGACGCAGAGATGATACTGGAACTGAAACCTGCCTGCTGATGATACTGTTGATACTGTCGCATGAGGAACGATCACATACTTATATACCATTGCATTGTCGTCATGTCCCATCAACGCCAAGCACAAATTGCCTTATCCATGAGCTATACGAGACTTCTGTTTGCAGCCTAGTTCGGGCTTGTCTCATCTTAGCTTTGAAAATCCTGGGGGATGCCTGTGAACAGCAAGCTGATTCAATCGCTATTGCGTTCTCGGGCTGACTAAGATTACGAAGATACTGAAGATAGTAGTATCGTACATTACGCGCTAGGTGGTATCCGAGTCCGGAATAGATATAGGCAGGAGCACAGCCTGATCAAGCTGATGTGGGAGGAGAGACGACTCTTTCCTTCCTTCTCATCCCTACTACGTTTGTCCGCAAGCAGCAGTGCGTATTGATCAAGACATTCTTGTGTCATTATTTGCGGATATCCTACATACATTCAACATCCTCCCGTCAAGAAGCACAGGGTGTCTAATCTCCCGATCTCCCGCTACAACGCTTCCAAACTGCTAACCGTGACCTACACCAGTTTTCCCCCAAACCACACCCATCACACTCAACCCTGCAGCCTAACGACCCTCGCATTCCCTCCATTCCTCCCACTGACCTCCTTCCTCAAAGCCTCAGCAACACCCCTCCTCCTCCCGACTTTACCCCTCCTGAGCTCAATCTCGGCCTCACTAACATCCCCCATCCGCTTCTTCACTGCACTATTCTGGACACTACCCGTGCTCAGACCCAACCTGCTCGCCCCCGGGGAGAACACCGCCCTCGAGTTTCGCATACCACCCGACGGCGGCGTTCTCTGCTGCTGCTGTCCTGGCACAAAGCGGCTAGAGCCGAACATGGCGTTCATACCTGGTGCGTCGCCATTGGCTAGCATCCTCGAGCTTCTGGCATTCTTGCTCGCAGACATGGAGGAAGACGGCGGTGTGGCTCCGCTGCCATTCAGCAGTCGACTGCCGGTCAGCGAAGAAACGAGCTGATCTTCATAATCCTCCTCCAGGTTCAAGGAAGCAATACCACCCGGTAAACGCCTCATCTGCGACTCAAGAAGATCCACATCCCCCGATTTCCGCTCAATCATGGCCGTCATTTTCGAAATCGTGTTCGTGATGGCCTCGACGGTCGGCACAGCTTTACTCTGCTCTGTCCCGGCAGACGTGGAAGAAGAAGCCAGTCCAGCCCGAAGCACACTCATCGCTTCCTCCGCTTTCCCGAGCAGAGTCTGAACACCCTGCACCCCGACCCTGATCTCCATCTGCAGCGTCTGTGTCTCCTCAGGTAAAGTTGCGTAGGCATTCGCAGCCTTCTGCTCCGGATCACTGAATTTCTTAATCCTCACTCGCATCTCGGCAGCTTTTGCCCTGAGACCCCTGATATCCTGCTCGGTCTCACCAATATCCTCTATCAAGCCACCAACGTTTTGCGGACGACCTTGTTCCAGCATCTCGTCTACCTCGTCTTGAACGTGCGTAAGAGCAGGAATCTCGTCAAGTGTCCATGCCTCATCGTCTTCTAGATCCTCCTGCGTGCGTCGACCATCAGCCTTCAGCTTGATGTGTCCTTCGACGAAACCACGGAGCCAGTGGGCGTTCAGGCCGAGAGTGTCGATCATGCTGTTTACGTCTCTGAACAGTTTCTCAATTGAGCCGGCCAAGTCACCTGCTTGCGAGGACGAGCCGATGTAATCTTGATGTGCCAGGAATGCAGGGACGTCTTTTGTGGGTTCGGGGGCACTGGCAAGTAGAGCTTGGATCCTTGCGTCCTCTTCGTCTTCGAGCGATCCAGTGGTAGGCTCGGCAGGTCTCATAGAAGCCACGGGACTGGTCGATCTCTCGGCTAGCTTTGCAGCAGGAACAGCTATACGGTGTGGCGGTAGCTGCTGCTGCTGCGACTGCTGTTCCTTCCTGCCTTGCGGAGCTTGTGACGGCTGTTGCTGTTGTGGCTGCGAGCCAGTCGATGGCCGGCTAAACAACGAAGGCATAGGCGGCTTGGACTGTTGTCCAAACGTCGCTTTCTGCGCCAGTGGCGCGGTCACAGATCTCACAGGACTCGGCGAGCGTGGTGACTCGTGCACTGGAGGGGCAAAGACGGGACCCTTGGGCAAGCCAGCAGGGGTGAAGCTCGGGACAGCTTTCTTCTCAGTTGCGGGTGTCGTCGATTCCTCGGCTTGATCGGGTCGAGTAGGCGAGGCGGGCTGCATTCTGCTCTCGAAAGCAGAGAGGCCTTTGGCATCAGTGACTTCGTGATCAGACTCCTCATCTTCTTCGTCATCTTCGCCCCCTTCCTCTTCATCCTCTCCGTCTTCCTCACCATCCTCCTCTTCACTCCACTCTTCTTCATCGTCGTCCTCAGGCCCAGCAGGCACTTCCTCCTCCGAGAATCTCTCGTTACCTAGATCGATGGGCGGTGACCCCGCTACAGGCTTCTCGTCCGTGATGACTTCTCCTTGGGCGCTAGGGTAATCGACAGGTGGGACATCGCCTGTAAATCTCTTGGCCTTGTAGCTGAGCGGATCGTCCTTCTTGTCCTCCTTGGTATCGGCTGCACCACCAGGGACATCCATCGGCGGCAAATCACCTGCGAAACGCTTGGCCTTGTAATTCAGCGGATCATCCTCCTTCTTCGCTGGCAAGCCAGCAGGAGTGTTACTCTGGGGCGCCGCAGGAATGTCCTGCAATCTCGTCTGCTTCTCCGTGCCCGGCTCCTCCTTGATCGGAGTAGCAGGCTGTTCACCCGCCTTTCGAATACCAGCCTCGCCAAGCGCGTTTCCGAACCCACCACCGAACAGTCCTGCACCTGGATTCTGCGGCTTAGGGACATCATCCTTTGCACTCCCATCGCCTGTAAATGTACTACCTAGCTTGAAGGCCCCAGCACCGAACAGTCCACTAGGCGCAGCAGCTGACTTCTTCTGCTCTTCACCACCCTGCATAGACTCCTCGCGACTGACGGGTAGACTTGGTTTGCCAAATGTGCCTGTGCTTGAACCACTCGGAGTAGGAGTACCGAAAAGCGAAGGCCCACCAACTGTGCTGGCCCCACCGAAGCTCGAGGTCCCCAGCGATGCTGTGGAGGCGAAGGACGATTGAGTCGGCACACCAGGAGTCTTCTGCTGGGAGCTGAAAGCAGCAAATGGTGACTTGTTCTCCGTGTTCTGTACTCCAACTCCACCGAAAGACGCCAATGGCTTTCCACCACCAAACAGCGATCCTGTAGGCTTCGCAGCATCGCCGCCATTGCTCGCGGGAGCTGCACCAGCAGCAGCGAAAGGCGATTGCGGAGCAGAATTGCCGCCGAAGATGCCGCTTGGCTGGCCAAAGGAAGATGTCGGAGCTGTACTACCTCCACCAGAACCCCATGGAGAGGCTTTCTGTCCCATTCCGCCTACCTGTGCGAAGCCCGTCCCACCAGCGATAGTTGTCGAGGAGCCGAAGGTAGGCTGTTTCGGAGCAGAAGACTGTGGTGTGGAGGATGGTGCGGCAGGTGGCGCACCCCAGAGTGATTGTTTCTGGCCGATCGCTGAGGAGCCGCCGAATGAGGGTGTACTGGGGGGGCCGAAGGCGGGTCCTGATGATGTTGTTGGTCGCGGTGTACTACCGAACGGCGAAGGGGAGGAGACAACTGGTGCTCCAAAGGCTGGTGCGGAGCCCGTGCTTGACGCTGCTGAAGGCGCGGCCGAGGCATCTTTCTTAGCATCCAGTGCTCGAGGTCCACCTGCCACTGTGAGGTCCGGAAAGGCTACCTTTTGTCTGATAGATTCGTTGTAGCCGATGTACCATATCCGTAGTACACCCTCGTTGTTTAGCACACAGAGTGCGGGTAACGGCACAGGCGACTCAGCCAGTTCTGCATCTCGGGGGATAGGTTTCGAGATGGTCTCACTGACACTCAAATCCAAAGCCATACCCAAAGCGAAAGTATCATCAATCCCGTTTGCAGCCATAGGCATACCCGCGCGATTGGTATCAGGAGGATTCGTGGTTGTGAACGCAGCCGTCGGTGCACCTTCGCCGAGTGCAGATGAAGCCTTACTGAGTATGCCAACATCTGTGCTTGCAGTAGAGATGAGTAGAAGCAGATCATCCAGATTTGGAGGCCAGTCCTTCAGTCGTTGTACGAAGTAGTGTGGCGGTAGACGGCCGCCAAAAGGCAAAGGCGGTGCCGGGTCAATGACAGTCTGGAATGTCCAGGCTTGAGATTTGGGGTTCTCGCGGCGAGCGAGGTGGAAGACTGAGTCCACAGGTGCGTCCGAGTCCATGCCATCTGAAATGTTGGGTGGTGTGTGCACGAGCAGGAAGTCGTTAGTATCGAGCCAGTATATCGACATCAAGGGCATTTGGCTTGCTCCGCTAGGCGCGAGCTCCGGCAGCTTCGGTGGAAGTGGTATCTCCGCCTTGACCTCGCCCTTCTGATCGATTTGTACTGCTGTCCCATCTGCACGGCCAGCCACAATCTGTTTGCCCAGTCGTGACCAGCATGCTGATGCGACATTGTCGTGGAAGATCACCTCCCCACGACCGCTTTTCGTGAGCTCACGTGTCTTGAGGTTCGCAAGCAGTAGCTGTCCAGTCTCTAGCACAATACCGAACAGATGCGCAGTCTCAGCTGAGGGGTTGGGATTCGGCAGTAGTTGTCGCACGCTCACACCATTCGTGCCAATCTGAAACGCAGCATCTTTATTCCCACTCGTAATCGCATTGGTATCGTAAACTGCCAACCCACCTCCGCGCTCCGCTGCGATGACCAGACAACTCTCATCGCTCGCGAACGCCACCTGCGACACCCGTGGGATGGGAAGAGAGGCTTCAGGTGTGAAACTTTTGGTCTTCTCTTCACCCTCTGCTTTGCCTTGTCGAAATGTATTTCGCACGCTTTCGGTCTTGGCGACGACCAACGTACCTGGTCCAGCTGCTGCGACTAGTCCTTTACCCGATGCGATGGTGAGTAGAGAGGCGTGGCTGGGTGGTAGTTGCTCTGCAGGCCATGGGGATGGTAAGAGCCTGAGCTTGTCGTCGCCGGATATGGAATGGAAATTGAGCTGCTCTGTGTCGATCTGCTCCAGATCATCGCCTTGTACTGTCTGCGCTCCACCGCCACCGCCTCCAAAGCTCATCGCCATGTCAATGTTATCCTACCAGCATCTAGGGTCGTACACAGTTCCCTGAGCAGAATGGGGATGTTGTCGGCCCTCGTGTCCGATGATATTGCGCAAGAGATGGGATGGGTGCTTCGAAAGCCACAGTATTTGGTGGAGCGAGTGTGTATGAAGGAGGCGTCAGGCAGCCGTAGGCAGATTCGAATTGTCATTCACCTCAACTTTCACAAACATGACATGAAGCTCGTGACCGCGCGAAGCTCTTCCACTAGCGCGTTCTCACGCTTTCCAGATTGGGATATTCGTTGATATCATTTCTGTCACGTGCGAGCGCGCCTCGCTAGACCTGCCCTGGCCTGCCCTTACGATGCAAGCTACAGCTTCACAGGCGACCACGAGCCGCATCATCAGCAGCGAACAACGACTACACACGACCATCTCCTGCAACACCACATAAAACACATCACTTACTTCGGCTCTAGGGTAAGACACAACACATCACTGCAGACGGTCTACCGCCACGATGCCGGGCTTCGACTTCAGCAACCACAACAGGAACCTGGCCCTGCATGCGAAAGGTGTCCCACTCCCCAAAGCCACATCGACGGGAACGACCATCGTCGGCTGTCTATACGATGGCGGTGTAGTCATCGCCGCCGACACCCGAGCCACATCCGGTCCTATTGTAGCAGACAAGGTAAGACAATCCACACGACCACCACATCAACCCCACCCTCTGTCGCACTTTCCTTATTAATATTCATACTCATGTGATGTCCAGAACTGCGAAAAACTGCACTACATCTCCCCCCAGATCTGGTGCGCCGGCGCCGGAACAGCCGCCGACACGGAATTCACCACCGCCCTCATCTCCTCCAACCTCGAACTCCACGCCCTGTCCACCGGCCGCAAACCCCGCGTCGTCACCGTCATGACCATGCTGAAACAGCATCTCTTCCGCTACCAGGGACACATCGGCGCTTATCTCGTCGTCGCCGGCTGTGATCCGACGGGTGCACATCTCTTCACCGTCCACGCACACGGCAGCACAGACAAACTCCCCTACGTCACTATGGGTTCTGGTTCCCTGGCCGCTATGAGTGTATTTGAGACCCAATGGAAGCGCGACATGACCCGCGAAGCCGCCGTGGCCCTCTGCGCCGACGCCATCCAGGCCGGTATCTTCAACGACCTGGGCTCAGGCAGTAATGTGGACGTGTGTGTGATTACGCCCGAGAAGACGCAGTTGATGAGGAATTTCATCACGCCGAATGTGAGGGAGAAGAAGAAGAGGGATTACAAGTTCCAGCGGGGCACGACGGCTTGGTTGGATGAGAGGGTGGTGAAGAGGGAGGAGATACGGAAGTATGTTTCTGTTGAGGAGGTGCCGGTGGAGGGTTCGGGCGCGCCGGTGGTGGGGGAGAGGATGGAGGTTGATCAGTAGACGTTGTGCATAAGCAAGCGGGTTGTACTTTTATTGTAGACGGGTGAGGTGCTTGACCCCGTGTATGTACTGTACAATGAGGAACCATGGCATGGCGAGCAGGAGTTCCCGCGCACTACACACAGAAACTCATCATGTCGAGCCGAGGAGATCAGCGCACAAAAGCCCTGTAACAGGTGCAGCGGTGGCTTTTGACAACATGTGATTGTGAATTTACATATGTCATATCATATCATACATGGCTACCACCTTTGGCCCTTTATCCGCCCGACTTCCTACACACCCACGCAGCATCCGCCCCTTCCTTCCTCCAATCCCCCGTGTATTACGTACACTCACCCTCAAGCATAATACCTTGGCTCGTCGAAAACATGATACCGATGGCCCCTTACACCCTCCCCGCGAAACAAACTGGGAAACCTCAACCCGTGCGGAACTTGGTCTTCAGGGATCAGCTCTCCACTCCCGTCCGCTTCGCCGACGACGAATTTGCCGACCTGTGTAACCACGTTAGCATCAACCTTCAACCACAGGACAAAGAGGAAGGAAGAAAGAAAAATAGAACGAACCTGCAATTCCGTATCCGTAATCGTGCCCCTAGACACCCTTGCATACCCCGTCCGCCTCAACCCTCTATAAAGAATGTACTCACACCACCGATCCCAATCACTAGCATCAATATCCTTCATACCGCTCGTCTCACTAACCCACGTATTGTAATTTCCCTCCCCTGGTTTCGTAATAAGATAACTTAATAATATTGCTGGACGATCATGGGAGCCCATGAGTTGCGACATGTACGCTGTCTGTTGCCGGCGATCCTCGACATCTTCTTCTTGTCCCGAGTGGAAGACGAAGACGTCTACGAGGGTGTCGTAGGCGAGAATAGTGGCATGGATCGCTGGGGCGAGTTCGCCCGAGGGGCTGGGGGTGAGGTGGTGGGTGGAGTTTAGGATGGGGAACTTGGAGAGCAGCGCACATCCCCAGGTGTGTTTGTTGGGGCCCGGGCCAAAGTCCACCCACATGCCCAGCTCCTCCGCTAAATACTGTGTCGGGTCTCGCATGCCCATTATGATGCGTTGGGTGTCGCTTTCTAGCAGGCCAATGAGGTCGAGTTCACTTTCTTGAATGAGTTGTTTGATTCGGCGGTCGGACGACCACATGTCGTTGTCGATGTTGAAGTGGGTCGTCCAGATTCCGGCCGTGATGGCCCGGCTGTCTTTGTGGTAGGGTTGGTAGTTGTAGGAGGGGAAGCGGAGGTAGGCGATGCTGATGCTGAGGAGTTGGAGGAAGAGGAGAATAGCTATGTAGTAGCTTCGCTGGCGGCGGGCGGCGGGGTTGGGGGGTGGTGCGGTGTATGTGGAGGACTTGTTCTGGGCGGTGCTTTGTTGTTGACCGCCGCTGTTCTGCAGAGCGGAGAAGACGCCGCAGCCGATGAGGAGCATGGTTGTTGCCATTACCCAGTCGGTATGTTCGCGTACTAGAGGCCCACCGGGCACGAAGGCGTAGGCCACGACCCAAACGTGGAAGAGGACCATGAAATTGTAGACGAAGAACCCAGTGAAGAACGTTCGGCCTGGTGGGAACTTGACGGCGTTGGTGATGAGGATTGGTGTAATGGCTGTGAGATAGAAAGTGAGGGTCAGACCACCATAGTATCCCGTCCAGTCTTCGAAGAGTGTTAAGAAAGCTGCGCCGATCGAGCCAACACCAAAGGCCGTCCAGCTGCGTGTGAGGTTGGGATAGAAGAGGCCAAACACCAGACCGAGACCCATGGTCAGAATGGTCCAGGCGCCGTGCGGTACAGCTAGAGGCCCATTGACCGGATAGCCAGTCCAGACCCACAGGATGATTGTGCTGGAGTCCGAAAGCAGAGAGTGCATAGCAAACAGTAATCCTGCAAAGCCAAGTCCGGCGAGCACCGAGGAGCCTTTTACGGGACCCTCATGCTTCTGCACACTTCCACTCGATGCCATAGTCGACTGTCGCATATACAACCACACAATAGCAAGAGCAAACAGAGCCAGAAAAGTCTTGTTCCACCCGCCATTCGCCTCATTCATGATCGGCCACGTAGGATTGTTCGTCCCGTTGGCGAATTTAGCAATACTGCTCCCGATCAACCCAATCACAAACCCACTGATCCTCGCCTCCAGCTTCGGCGCATCTCCCCGGTCACGCCACCAGACAGCCGCATACGCCAAACAACCTTGCCAAACAGCAACAGTGACGGCGCCGAGACGGCCAAGGGGCGATGGGAGAGCATAACAGCCGAGACCGAAGAGACCCATGCTGAGCTGGAGGGTCGTGACGTTTTTCCCGGCGAGGCGGCGGAGCTGTGGAATCTCGAGGAGGAAGGGCGAGATGGTTGACATGACAACTACTTCGTAGCCAGACAGGCCCATATGCCACAGGGGAAAGTACCAGATGCTGACGCCTAGGGAGGTCAGGACGGACCAGAAGACGAACTGGAGGATATGTCAGTATTGGTTTCCGAGAGGAGTTGAGCATGACATACTCCGAGGTACACGTCTGCTGCAGCATCTGCCAATTCATTGACGTCGAATTTGTGGTCAAACACTTGCCCAATAGGCATATCTTTCTGCTTCTCTAGCACTGCATCCTGGACTTGCTTGTTGTCTCTGCACAGAAGAAAGAGGGTATTAGTCTTGAGGGCATGCTATCGTGCTGCGGTGCACGTACCGATCACTTCGGGAGCCGGTGGACGTACCCTCTGCGCATGCCCTTGATATCCTTAACAACCAGTTCAAGACCCGCGAAGTCGATCGCGGTGACTGCATCGAAACCTACATCCAGAAGGACAAGAGACCATTCGAAGAAGGCATAGATGGTATAAGCTGTCGCTGTATCAGCACCTTGTATCGATCGAACAACAAATCAAACATACCTCCCGCAACGTGATGGATCTTATGCTGGAGGAAGAAATACAGCATCGGCACCAGGGTAGCAAAGAAGGCGCCACCGAGCCACTTCCTCAGCCTCACCGTCCGCGGATTTACCGGACCGAGCAGTATGCAACCCACCGTCCAGGGTATCGACGCCACCAGATACGAAACCATGAAGATATCATGCCAATCATGGTTGTCCGTACTAGTGACATACGTCCATCCACCACAAGTCAACGTCCTCAACACCCCCACGCCGGCAACGAACTTCGCACCCGCTTCCCCCTTCTTGTTCGTCAGACAGTAGAAGAGGAAGCAGAGGAGGAAGCGGGGGCCGGAGCAGACGGCGATGAAGTACTGGAAGACGGTGCGTTCGGGGAAGCGATCACCGATTGTTGAGGAGACCGAGGGGATCCATTCGGTTGGGTAGCTGTAGTATTGGTTCTCCACGATTTGGTAGTAGTGCAGGTAGACGCCGACTACGAGGGCGCCCAGGAAGGCCGAATAGGCTGATATGGTGTGGAGGTGGGTGATCCATTGCCCGGGGATCTGGTGGAAGACGATGTGTCAGCTGGTGGTGGTTTGAGGGGGGTAATACTGAGGACGCACGACTGCGATGACGTCGCCGTCGCGGTGTTTGGGCGGCATTGTGTATGTATAAGGTATATACGGTGGAAAGACTGCACAAGGCAGCAGGGAAACGAAGACGATTTCTAGTAAGGAGTGTGCAGAAGAGAGGACGATTAGTGAGCTTTGCGCGAACATAACGCGAAGACAGCTGCTCGCCAGAACATCCCTGCGACTTTCCACGTGCCAAGCTCCGAGGCACCCGGGCGGGTGAACGCGGGTCCGCAGAGCCTCAATCTCGAGATCTTATCAGATCGAGAGCCAAATTTCCTTGCCCAAATAACACCAGGTCCCACCAAGTCTTACCACCACATTCCTAGGATAAGTGAAGATGGCATCAGCAAGCGACAAAGCCCGGTTTTACCTCGAACAATCCGTCCCCGAACTCCAGGACTACGAGCGCAAAGGCATCTTCACCCGGCCCGAGATCACAGCCATAACGACCAAACGCAGCGACTTCGAACACATCCTCAATGCACGAGGCTCGAAACCGGGTGACTATGCACGTTACGCCGAGTATGAACAAAATCTAGACTCTCTGCGAAAGAAACGGTGTAAACGATTAGGTATCAAGGGCGCGAAGACGTACTCCGGCCAGAGGACTGTTTTCTTCATTCTGGACAGAGGCACCAAAAAGTTCCCTGGTGATCTGGGGTTGTGGATGGAGTATATCCGCTTCTGTCAACGGGAGAAGGCGAACAAGAAGTTGGCGAGGGTTCTCACTTCCGTTTTGAGATTACGGCCGAGGGAGTGGGGTCTGTGGGTTGTGGCGGCGAAATGGTATGCAGAGGAGCAGGGGGATATGCAAACGGCGCGGTCGTATATGCAGAGAGGGTTAAGGTTTTGTAGGGATAGGAGGGAGCTGTGGGGTGAGTTTGTGAGGCTGGAGATGGTGTTTTTGGCTAAGCTTGGTGCGAGGAGGAGGATTCTGGGGCTGGATGAAGAAGGTAAGGAGGCGGCAGAGGAGGTGGAGCAGGAGGACGAGAATACGATCTCGTTGCCGGCTGTTACGGCGGCGGACTTTAAGACGGAAGAGGGCAAGGGTATGGAGGTCGTGGACGCCGCAGCTCTACAGAAGCTTGCCAAAGCACCGGCGTTCAGTGGTGCGATACCTATCGCTATCTTCGACGCTGCGATGAAGGAATTCAAGAATGACCCCGAGGTGGCAGAAATGCTTGTCGAGATCGTCACGGGATTCACAGAGGCACCCGCCACGAAGAATGTGCTTCAGCATGCTATTGAGCATTTGCAGACCACGAAGCCGACATCCCCAGAGGCTATTCTGTGCGAAGCGAGGCTATATACTCAGGGCATCGATGCAACATCTGCTGAATTCCCGGTTGCATTGGGTACGGCGCTCAAGCATATCACGGCTGGCATGGCTTCACTTCCGGCAAAGCACCAGCCTATGCTGATGGAGAAAGCGGTAGCCATGCTCCTGCCTTTCCTCGCACGTGCGGACGATCTAGACGAAGATGTTGCGACTGTCATCATGGCGAGTCTGAACCGGTATCTTGGTGCTCTGGCCAAATTCGATCAGATGGCATCGATCAAGCGATCTATTGTTCGGACATTGGTGGCGAGGGTACGGGAAAGTGGTGGAAGGTTGGCTCTCGAGGATGTACGGGAGGCCGTTGGCGAAACGAAAACAGGGGCGGCAAGTTCATAGCGGCTTGTTTCGTGCCTCAATACGGCCTCCGATCGTACCTCGCTGCATGCTGCTCGCAGAAGCGTAGCTAGTAGACCAATTTCATCGTGGCACTTTCGCTTTACCAATCAGCATTCGGACTCTTCACCTGCGTGAACCATACATAGGCGATCGATCTCAATCTCTCAACACATTTCAGTTATGATGGCGTCCTGGATCATCGGATCGACAGCGTGAGCACCAACTACTCGAGCAGTGGCTCAAAGTCGGGCATGGATCTCGTGCAGCTGGACATAGTGTGGTTGTCTCAACGAGCTACGTTCCATGTCCGTCGAGTTGCAGCAGCCTGATCGGCCAGCAAGCAGTCTCGTGGTTCTGTCTACAAATGCTGCTGTCGTTATGCACTCAGATAGCCATAGCCTCGCGAGCTCAAGTGCTTCGCCGCTGCCGGTATATCCCTCTCCTTTCGATTGCTGGCCCGCAAAAGCGACACTGTCGTTGCCTGCAGATACTACAGGCTTGAGCTGTGCATCAGTAACGGGGTCTAGGAATGAATCCAATCCGACATGATGAGGCCTGTACAGTATATGAGCAGCAGTACCATCAGCTTCGATCTCCGTACGAAGGCCGGGCATTGCTGCTCCTGGCTTGTTGCTCCGCGGCACTTGCATACACTTTTGTAACAGTCGATAGGTCATTATTGAAGCCAATTCTGGCTTTTTACTGTATCTACGGCGTACTGTAAGCTCATCGTTAGCCGCCGATGGGATCTTCTGTATAGCGGCTTTGCATCTGGTTTAGCGACGGCTTTGGCCGCGTCACAAATCTAGGGATGTCGGCCCTCTCGTCCTGCCAAGGGTTCTCGATTGATCACTTGCAGCAGTACCTTATATATTCCCCTCAGTCACCTGCCACTACATTGATATTACTGCCGTTTGGGCTCGGTATGCCTGATGCTGTATCATTGTTGCTCAGCATCTGTTTCGTTGCATGCCTGGGAGAAGCCTACCGTATCTGAGCAGACCATAATAATATCGAAGATCTCACTGCTAGGATTGCTATTGCAACGATCTGGCTGCGAAGGCTTGTTCTGAAACATGGGCGTGTCACCTCCTGCAACCAAAAGTCTTTAGCCGACAACAAGGCAATACGCTGGCGGCCCATAGACAACTTCTCGAACCTTGTGATCCCAGCTTCGAAGGTCCAGGTCATCTGCCATTCCCATGGACGCCGTCTGTCTGAGCACTCTATTATCCTTGGCCCCAATCTTCGCGTACCACCATGTCAACAGACTACCGACTGGTCACCAGGACGTAGCATGCTGTATTAATCAGCGAATGCATACCACGCTGCTCGACGAGAGCAGAGTACGGCAGCCCGTCCATCCAATGGCTGGCAGCGAATATACTCAACCGATTAGCGATGGGCTACGTCCAGTACGTTACACCCGCGCTACGAATGCATCTACTGTCACAGCCTGATCCAAGACGGCTTCCTAGCCCAGACTCATCTCGCGGTCCCGCGCGTGGACTGCTGGCTTCGCGCCCGCGAGTGTCAGATTGACAGGCAGTATACGCATCGACTAGACCACCGGGTATATCAATTGCAATATTGCAGCGTGAAGTATATATCATCATTCCTTCCCACCCCATCGGTGCCTTTTACTTGCTCAAACACGATCGTTCTAACTCATCCACCTTCCGTTTCCCATCGCCGTTGACCGGTGCTCTCTTTCGCTTCCAGACAATCTCAGGTAGATCCACCACTAGCAAAACCCTTCGCCGCTACTAGATTCGACAACATGCCCGGCTCCCTTGCTGCTGCGGCCTTGGCTGCAGCCATCGCCACTCTGCCATTGGTCTCCGCTCACGGCTACGTCGCCAGCGCCACCATCAGCGGCACTGCCTACTTCGTCGGCAATCCCAATTGGGCCTACCAAACGCCAACCCCGAAGCAGCCAGGCTGGTACGCCAACAATCTCGACAATGGTTTCGTCTCGCCCGCTTCGTACGGTACGGCGGACATCATCTGCCACAAGGCGGCCACACCAGGCAGCACCGCCCTCACCATCGCTGCAGGAAGCACTATGCAGATCCAGTGGAACACATGGCCCGATAGCCACAAGGGCCCCGTGTCCAACATGCTGGCTGCCGTCAGTGGGGACTTCTCGTCCATCAGCAAAGGCAGCTTGAAGTGGTTCGAGGCCGAGGTTGGCGCTTTGCAGGATGACAGCAGCCCTCCAGGCCAATGGAGCACCGACAAGCTCATTGCCAACAACTTTACGGCTCCCTTCACAGTCCCTGCTGGTAAGTCTCAAATCATAGTGTGAACAATGGTTCTACCTCTGCTAACAATTCTGGGAAGGCCTCGCTGCTGGCAACTATGTGCTCCGTCATGAGATTATTGGTCTTCACGCTGCTGGCTCCTCCAACGGCGCTCAGAGCTACCCAATGTGCATCAACTTGGTCGTCACCGGTTCCGGCACGACCAACCCCTGCGCTGCCAGCGGCGCTGACTGCCGCATCGGTACATCCCTCTACACCGAGACTGATCCCGGTATCCTGATCGACATTTACTCGCCAATCTCCGCCTACAAGATCCCCGGCCCTGCTCTTATCAGTAGGTGAACAGTATACACAAATCTAGGAGCATGAGAGCTGACAACGTATTTAGGTGGCGGCAAGTTCGACGGCAACATCGGTGGCCCACCGGGCGGCAGCGGTAGCGCGCCCGCCTCCAGCGCCCAAGCCTCCAGCGCCACATCGAAAGCGGCAACGACTCTCGTCACCTCTACCAAGGCAACATCTGTCGCGCCCACGACCAAGGCACCTACCTCCGTCCCCGCTACCTCAACTAAGGCGGCCGCACCAACATCCTCCGCCTCGACCGGTACTTGTGCGGCCAAGTACGCCCAGTGCGGTGGACAGGGCTGGACCGGTGCTACATGCTGCGTGTCAGGTAGTAAGTCATTCGCCTAAGCTCCATCCGAAAAAAATAGATGCTGACATCAATGCTCAGGCACCTGTGTGGCTTCAGGCCAGTACTACTCCCAGTGCCAGTAGGCGTAGAGCCACTACTTGGCGAGACCTTCATTTCGAGATTAAATTGTTATATGGTAGAGAGACATGACTTATGTAGCAGCATTATCGTGAGCAGCAGAGATCACTTCTCATGATGTGCAGTGTGTCATAAGTCCTTCGTGCCCGATCTGCCATGCAGCTGAAGCATCCGGCCCAGGGTCTGATATTGGAAAGTCGTACGCCGACCTGTTCATCTTCCCAGCCATGGAAAGGTCGATTGTAGGTATCACCCTTGCTTGGTAGTGCTATGGGAGCAAGTACCAGGAAAGCACGAGATACATCGAATGTTCCGAAAGCTCGCAGTGGAATTTTCCCGCTGGGTAGACGAGTAGAGCCGATCAACGAGTCAGTAGTACTCATACATGTCTGAGGAGATAGTGCATATCACTTTGTACCAAGATTCCTGCAAACAGGGTTACTAGCAACTTCCTGGCAGTTATTGTCTTATATGCGCGGGATCGATAATTGCTGCAGAGAAAATGCCCGGCGTAAAAGAGCAGATCTTGGGCGTTGCCAAGGTCCAATCCACAGCTGCGTTACCTCATGGTGTGCCTGGCTGTTCATACTACCTTGGCATTCGGTAGGGCGTTGTGTATTGTTGCCGTTTCCAGTCTCGCGATTGAGCGGAAACATACTCAAGAGATCGTCCGTGAATTGTACGAGGCAACTGTACCGGGATCGTGATTCTACGGGATGGTAGCATACACGTCACAGTCTACACTGGATCATGGCCAACTGTACATTTAAGCGGCTATACTAAGCACAGATGAGTCGTCACACATACGTGGCCCAGTGATCATGATTTGTGTCGAAATCCAGGATCCAGTCATCTATCGATTCCTGGTGGACATCATTGTGTGTGTCGACTACTGTACTATTCCAGACAGATGGAGAGGATGTTTCCATTGGGATAGATGAGACTGCGAGTTGTGGCTGACGGCCGTAAATGTCTGGATCAGTCAAACCAATCGGGCTTGTATTCGTAGAGCGATCGTCGAGGCCGACCAGCACGAGTCTTGAAGACTGCTCAATCAAGGTCTGCGCTTCTTTCATGAAGCCCGCGCCGGCTTCTCCATTGACCTTGAATGCCCATTTGAGCTCCTCTAGCTTTTCAGCAATGGCCGACCTTTCTATAGGATCGGTAGCAGTACGCTCAAGTAGGCGGCCAAAGTGATAGATGATCGTACAGCATTGCGCCGAGATGAAGTACCAGAACGAGGCCAAATGTACCGCTTGCAGGTGCTGGATGAAGTCAACGGCGTTGTAGAAGCGTTCTTTGGCAGCAGCGCGCAGGATGCCGAGAAGATTATCGTCGACGGCGCTCCTGGTCAGCGTCTGAACAACGAGACGGTGTAGGCATGTCTCGACGGACAAATATGCTAGGCGCAAGTAGCAGACCGAGGAGAGCTTCATGGTGGCTGAGCTCTCCATTTTGAGTGATTCCGGAAGGGTCGCAAACCATTCTTTAAGCTGCAGCTGCAGTGGCTTCAGTTGCTCCATGAGTAGACTCAGTTTGTGCTCCGCCAAATTTACTCTTTGCTGAAATCTAGCGGACAATAACTGGATCATGATATCCGAGAGAATGGTGCTCAAGGTAGCCATATGTACGAATGCCATACAGCCTTTCTGCTCCTCTGGGTTTGCGGCGCGCCCGTCTTCGCCACGTTCGTAGAAGTCATCCAGCGCCAGCTCGGATACAAGCCAGTCGTGCTCGGTGAAGCGCGAGGGACCGCCGTAGAGCAGCGCACTCCATCGGCCTTGAATATACACGGCCCAGCTGAGCCGCCGGCGGAGATCGATTTCCCAGTCAGGAATGTCTAAGGACAATGGTCAGTGCAAAAGTCCTTGCTAAGAGGAACGCTGCTGTTGATGCACTCACCCCATTCTGTGGGCTCCAAGTGCAGTCCGAGTCCAAACGCCAGGTTGACAACGTAAGTCGTTAGCTCTCTTGGGGTAAGCAGCTCGCCAGCAGTACTTTTAGTACCATTGTATTGAGACAGTAGAAGGGCGGCCTGGATGGTAGAGAGCTTCGGCCGCTTCAGTGTACTGCGAAAAGATTCCGATGCCAAGCGCTCCAGCTTGGTCACATCTGATTTGGGCGCTCCGACCAGCTCATTGCTATACATCCAATAGCCGCTTGCCAGCAGGTACACTGCCGCTAGCAAAGGTGGTGAGAACTCTCGATATGTTCTGGAGTACTTCTCTAGAAAGACCTCTTTGTGTAGCACTGGAAATGAAGGATGCACGATCCAGAAGTATAGCTTCACAAGTTGAGGCCCATGGCCTTCCACAGCCGCTTCAATCTGGTCCTGGATAGCTGACTCATGTCCGTACCCTACCGTATCTGCATCCGGATTGATCTGAAAGGCGTGTAACGGGTGTACGAATCGGATCCTCAATGGCTTCCCACCAGTGGCCGGAATTCGGTCCTTGTCCAGAGGAGGTGAGAGCAATACGGAAGCATCCAAGCAGTCGTTGGCACCAATGTATCTGCTATGATGCAAGTTCTGAAGTCCAAGAGTCCGTCGCAACAGTGTGGCGCCCGATAGAGCGTCATATTCTTGAACGCCTGTTCCTGGGATCGTCCTTATAGTCTTACTCCGTTTGGTGGCCGTCTCTGTTTTGTTGGCATCGGACGGCGTAGCTCGTTTTCGAGCCTGAGGCGCAGCTTCATAGGTACATTGCTGCTTATGAAAGCGACACAGTACACAATCAGCGTCACCAGCTTCCGTCACACATTTCGTCTTTCTCTTGCGGCAACTATCACACGGCCGAGGTCTCTTCGATGGCTCCGGCATCCCCTATATCGTCACTGTCGCCACCGTACATGCTTCGATACAGCTGCTATGTCGTTAATCTGTACGACAGTAGGACCGTGCGATGAGATGGCAGGTGTGGGTTGCGATAAGGATAGCATCTTGTGTGTCAAAAGATAAAGCGTTTGAAATCTAGTTGCCTCAGGTTACACATTTGTGTTCAGAGTTTTATTGCTTCAACACAGTTCCTTCTCTCCTCATCACCATCTCGTGGCCACTTTTTCATCCCGCTTGGATGGAAGACCTATCGACATTGATGTAATTGGGACTACGATACATCTAGAGGTCACTGGGTCCTCTCAAACTCCCGACTAATGTCAAAGATCTTCGCATCAGTGCCACTGGCTCCGAGCAAAGTAACTCCAAATGGCAACCTTTGGCCACTCTCTCCGTCATTAAACCCAGACCGCAAGGCCAAACCACACAAATCCAAAACATTTCCGAAGTGCGTAAACTCGCCACATCTTGCATTCAAAACAACGGGATCTGCCTCCATCTCAGCCACCGTGGGGTGACACGGCACAGTCGGCACCAGAAGGACGTCAATCTTCTCGAAAACCATCGCAACTTGTCGTGTGCATGCTACTTGCACATGCTGATCTTCATAGACCTGCCAAGGCTGCGTTCCGCGCGCCAGAGCCTTGCCGAACAGCTCACGGAGCGCAGGATGTAGCCTCTCGTGGTTGTCGCCCAAAAATTTGGGACCAAGACAAGCTATCCGCTCGTTGAGTAAGGCACCTTCATATAGTAGTTTGCTTCCCATGTCGAAGGGAGCCCAGTCTACTACCTGTGCTTTGCCGCCTGCACGCTCCATTCTGGCCACCGATTTCGAGAAAAGATCGCGGTAACTGCTAGTACAACATTGCAGCGCACTTTCTGGTGGTACGCCAAACGTAAAACCACCAACCTTCGGCCCACGAAAGTCGACATGCCACAGCGGTAGCGATTGTTGCGACTTTGCGCATGGATCCGACTCATCTGGGCCTTGATCAGCTACTAGCCACACTGCCCGCGCCTCTTCGACTGTGGGTGCAAGAACAGTGATGGTGTCCAGACTCCTGCATGCTGGTACAAGACCCTGAGCTGAGAGTGTGCCTTTGGTTGGCTTAAATCCCACGATGCCATTGAACGCGGCTGGAACACGGCCGGAGCCTGCGGTGTCTGTTCCCAGGGCAAACGTCACTAGTCCAGCACCAACAGCGACGGCAGATCCCGACGAAGAGCCGCCCGATATGCGATTGTGATCATACACGCTGCGTGGATAACCAAAGGGTGATCTGCAGCCTGACAGACCAGTTGCTAGCTGGTCCAAGTTCGTCTTGCCGATGAAGATTGCACCGGCGTCCAGCAATGCGTCCACAACCTTTGCGCTGCGTGATGGCGTGTAGGTGTACTCGTCACAAGCTGCAGTAGTCGGCACACCAACCACGTCGATGTTATCCTTGACCGCGAACGGCAGTCCATATAATGATGGCAGTGGCTGGTTTGCAAATTTGTGCTCTAGCTGAAGCGCCGCCTGAAGGATGTCGTCCGAACGTTGCAGATATGTCCATACAGCTGGGTCCTTTGCCTGGTACTCCTGGATCCGCAGGCAGACATGCTTAACCACTTCCGATGGCGTAGCTTGCCGACCGATGTACTGTGCTCGCAATGTTGGCATTGATAGATCTCCTTGAAAGCCTGGTGGCGTCGTCGGTGGAGATATCATTGTTTGGGGGGCACACTTGAGTAGCTCTTCTGACGTGCCGACGTAACCAAACAGACCGTCGTAGGAGCACATCATATCGAGTGATTTAGTAACAAAACTGGAGTCGAAGCCGGATGTGCAGTCGGTCAACACGCAGCATTCGAAGCCACGGTCGGCTGCCTCCCGGAAAGTAGTATTCACACAACACTCCGTCGTCACGCCAGCAATCAGTAAGTGGGTTATGCCACGAGCGAGCAGTGCCCGGTGAAGAGTCGTGTCCCAGAACGACCCTTTGCCTGGCTTGTCGATCACGACCTCTCCAGGATGCGGTTTCAGGTCATCGATGATGTCGTGCCCATACTCCCCGCGGATAAGCAAGCGACCCATGGGACCTTGGTCGCCGATTCCTATTGTGTGATGACCTGAGGGCGCAGAAGTCTGCCGAAGACGTTTCGCTGGTGGCAAGTCGGAGAGATCTGGTTGGTGGCCTTCCCGGGTGTGCAGGACATGCATACCCATCTCTCGGACTTTGCGGAGGATTTCCTTCGTCCTAGGTACAATGCTGCGAACGCTGGCGAAGACTTTATCGTTGCCGCACTGGATGGCTCCGAAGCCATTAGGATCTAGAAAGTCCCTTTGCATGTCGATAATGAGGAGAGCAGTCGACTCCGGTCGGAATTTGAAAGCATATGGACGTGCCGATGCGAGTTCCATCGTGACAGACATGGTACTAAAGGCGAGTTAGCGATGCTTGTGGGATGGCAGTACTGCTATGACCTACTGTCATTATATGCAAGCGCCTGTGCCAAATTGGGCATTATCGAGTTTAGCTGCGGCCATGAGATGCGCCCGACCACGACCTTTGCGCCGTCTCGCCAGTCGCCGTCGGGGAACGCATGGCCAGTAGATAAAGCTCCTAACGAGCTTGGAAGCTTGATACGAGCCATTGTGGGGAAGCGCCAAGGAAGCCGACCACCAATTGCAGCCACTCGATATGAGGGTCACGGCAGATACGCCTGAACGAGTGCTTGTACAAGCCGACAATTCAAAGCACCGTTCGTGAGTGCTATCGAGACCAAGGTTTCTATCTGTTCTCGGATCAAGACGAGGCTTATAAACTACACTAGCACTGCTGACAGCGGTAACCGTGCTGTCTCCTGCTCGGTCAGACGACTTCTGGCCAGTCGTTGGTAGACGTAATCACCAGCTAGCACAGCTTCGTACTTAGGAGTCTCGCCTGCTGGAACGCAACTTTCGAGGGGATGCAGCATTGTATCGTACGAAGGGCCAAAGAAGAATGGCACCGAGTACCTCTCTTGCCCAGTTGTGTTTAGCACACGATGGACCGTGGAGATGAATGCGTCATTGCTCCATCGTGCGAGCATGTCTCCTATGTTGACTATGAATGTTCCTGGTACTGGTAGCGCCTGGATCCACTCGCCGTCGACGTTCAATATCTGAAGTGCTGGCTGCTTGCCTTGTAGAAGGATGGTGAAGCACTCGATGTCCTACGAAGCCGTTGGTCAGAATCTTCAACTTTTACGAGCAAGCGGCTCGCGCCTACCGTATGTGCTCCAATGCCGAATGCATCTGGATTGTCTGGTGGTTGAGCTGGGTACTTCAACAGCCGCAGCATCGCACCAGGTGTCTTTACTAGCTCATCAAAGTGATTTACTGGGAGCTGCAGCACTCGAGCAAGCAGCTTCACTAGTCGGCGGGCTAGCATCAGGATTTCTCCATAATACCTTGCTACGCTGTCCTTGAACCCGACCTGCGATGGCCACGCATTCGGACCTCGCATCATGCCATCGATGACTGCAACACAGTCAGAATAGTTTCGACTGATTCAACATGGAGAACTACCAGATGCATGCTCCGAGCTATCTCGCTGGGGGTCCAGTTGAGGCTCATATCCGCAATTGAAGGCCTCGTTGAGATCAGCCATCTTGGTTTCATCCGTGCGGACCTCGGCGATAGGCTCGTATCCTCGCAGGATGGTGGATTTCTTGTAGTTGATCTCGTTCTTAACCTCGAGCGCCTGGTTGAAAAATTCCTCGGCTGTATCAAATATCGAGCTCGTTACGGCGTCACAGACACCATGGTCCTGCTGACGAGTTAGCTGATGCTCACATCGCACAAAATATACTGACTTTGATGTAGAAGAACCCGACTCGGGTGCACGCATCGCTGAGCTGCTCAATGATCTCGCCTTCCGTTGCAGCCAAAGAGATTGTTGGGATCTCCGAGAACTTGGCCTTGCGTGCAACATTCCCAGCAAGTGTTCGCTTTCCTGATCTTCCAATCAGTTTCGGCGCCGTGTATACCTCCTCCAATGTCATCCATACTCCCTGAAAAAGATACAAATTCTGACATCCTTCCTCAAATGTCGTGTGGCTGATGCGAGAAGAGCTGCCAGAGGGGTTGTGGTCACAAGACTCTGCAGGGAACCCTTCAAGCTTCAAGACGGTCCGTTGCTTCCACAACTCCTCGATAAATGTGCTCAATGCCATCGCCGAGTCTCACGAGTCAGTCTCGCCGCTCTGAAGTTTTGGCCGCCGGCGGCCGTCTTGGCGTCGCTGCAGGCACTGATAAGCCCGATAAGCGCCATATCAGCCTTTTCACCATTCCTGGTAAACCACCTCGTGGCTGTGGATCTCGTTGTAAGTGCCTTACTCGGGTCTGTTGATATGGGTGTCGAAGATATCGGTTTGGCATAAGAAGGTAGGTCGATTCCTGCACTCCGAGCATGTTCAGCGTAGCCATCTTTCCATCCCATCTCTCTGCAAGGTCACAGCCATGACTACAGTCCTTCGCCAGAGGTTCAAGACCTCCAAAGGCGAGCTCAAGAAGAAGAGCAAGCCTTCCGGCTGGGTCATACCGCGGCAGATTACCACCTTCGCCGACCCGGACAGGTGGTCGAACATCGATGCCGATGTCACACCAATCGCCCGAAGGACCTGGACATCATGGACTATCCTCGGTTTCTGGATATCAGATGCCATGAATGCCCAGGGTTGGCAGGCGCCATCCTCCATCATCGCGGTGGGCTTAACGTGGCGTGAAGCGGTCTACTGCATCATCCTCGGCTCTGCCATCGACACCATACCGCTCGTCTTGAACGGTGCCATAGGAGCACATCTTCATGTTCCCTTCCCAGTGGCCGCAAGGTCAAGCTTCGGCTTCTACTTCGCTCGCTTTGCTGTTGTTGTGCGTATGATCACTGCACTGTTCTGGCACGCTATACAGACCTGGACCGGCTCGACCGCCATGACGCAGTGCATCCGCGCAATCTGGCCCAGCTATCTAGACATACCGAACCACATCCCAGCGGCAGTCGGCATCACCACGCAACAGATGGTTTCCCATTTCATCTTCTGGTCTATTCAGTTCCCCATCCTACTGACTCCGCCTCACAAGTTGAAATGGTTCTTCTGGTTTAAATCCTTTGTGGTCATCATCGCATCTGTCGGCACGGTCATTGCAATGACCATGAAAGCAGGCGGCACTGGCGATATCTGGAAGCAAGAGTACACGGTCAATGGTAGCCATCGTAGCTGGATTATTATGTCCAGCATGATGAGCATCACTGGAGGCTGGGCGACCATGGCCACTAACGTCGCTGATTTCACACGGTACCTCGACAAACCCAAGGGCGTGTACTGGCAAGGTCTCTTCTTGCCACTCATATCAATCATCTTGGGCCTTTTCGGCATCATTAGCACGTCCTCGGCCAAAGTCGTCTATGGCGAGTACATATGGGACCCTCTTGCCCTCGCAGCACAATGGCATGGTCCTGCCGGTCGCTGCGGTGCTTTCTTCGTCGGCTTCACCTGGTGCGTGGCTCAGATCGGAACGAACTTGTCTGCAAACGTTATTAGTGCGTCGAATGACTTAACAAACCTCTTTCCGAAGTATATCAACATCCGCCGGGGTGTCATCATCATCACCGTCACCGCGGGATGGGTGATGGTTCCGTGGAAGATCGTCCACTCTGCAGAATCACTCTTGAACTTCATGAGCGGTCTGTCCATCTTCTTGTGTCCGATTGCTGCCTTGCTCGCCACGGACTACTGGCTGGTGAAGAAGAGGAACATCGACGTCCCAAGCCTCTATCGAAGGCACGCTCGTTATCGATACTGGCATGGTATAAACTGGCGGGCAGCCGTTGCCTTTACTGTCTCGGTCGTACCGAACGTGCCCGGCCTTGCCAAAGCCGTCAACCCCAGTGTTAGCATCTCAGCTGGGATCGAGCACGTGTATGATGTAAGTCTTCGCCTTCACGATCTACGGAGTCGCTGACGAGACCACTGACGCTTCTCAGATGAACTACCTATACGGCTTCACAAGCGCAGCCTTCCTTTACTGGTCGCTTTCGTATTACTTTCCTGCGTCGGAGACCATCATACCAGCGAGTATCTACGAGGACATCATGGTCATTGACGGAGCTGAGTACAAGAACGATGGGATCCGCACTCCTCAGGAAGTTGTGGAGAAGGACGAGAAATTGCCATACACAGCTATTGGGCAAGTCTGAAAATACTAATGTAAATCGGTCCTCTCTGTACCGCCGTCATGAGTTCTTACCTTCTTGCAAGCAACGAAAGGCCGTTATTATCGTAGGCCTATACACCTCTACGTGTGCTTCATAAGAAACAACGTCTATCTTATCTCATCGCTCGCCTATATCGATCTACATATGTTCCTCTTCAGAACATGAGGACCGCACTCATATAGGCCAAAACTAGCTCCGTGATCCCTCTAGTGCACGTTCTCGACACCTTTAGGCTAGGACTGCAGCACACGTGAATAATCTCAGATTGGTAATGTTTCAGACAGCCGCCGTGTCTTAAGCCTCGAATGCGCTATCTGTCCAGTATGTTCTCTTCTAGCCTTACAAAGCGTTGACCTCGTTGTAGAAGCCGGTAGGCTTCGCATCCTTAGACGTCGAAGAAGTATAGCGAATAGTCTGCTACCTCACCTACGCTAGCCGTAGTACTATTCGGCGACGTTAGATTTAGAGATTGCTACAGTCGGTCAAGTCCGCTATTATACCGTTCTTAGTATTAGCGAGGAAAGAATAATCCTCCGAAGCGTACTATCTAAGCGCTATACTCGAGGTCTTAGTAGTAAAGGATAGAATAGGACTAAAGAGTAAGTTAAGAAAGCTAAATTACTCGCTTAGACTACAACTAAATAGCAGTAGAGAGGTTATCTAACTTATATAAGGCCTAGAACTATTATATACCTATAGTATAAAGAGGTTAGAGTATATTAGATAAGTAATTTCTAAGCGATAGGTTAGGTAAGTAACTACTCTAAGGTTTAACCTTTCGGTAGGTTAGTAACTTAGGTTAATTATAAACTACCTATATAAGAAACGTCTATTCTCTATATATAGGAGATTTATATAATAGTCGTAATTACCTATAGAAGTTATAACTTAGATTATAGTTATTAGAGGTAACTACAACCCTAATCGCTTAATTACCTAATAATAAAGTAATCCCTTATATAATTATAGATTCTAACTACGTTAGGGTTAGGGCATATAGTCGCTATTCCTAACTTTATAGGATATAGGTGTTACGGACATGTGATATAGGGTGTAGAATAAGAGAATAGGGACTAGTTATTTTAGCCTTAAAGGAAAGCGCTAAGGGCGCACCCGCGAATTACGTAACTAGCTATCTTTACTAGACTTTAGACAGACACGTAACTAGCTATCCGACTAGACGAGGGGTCTGGCGGACTAGTAGCTAGTTGGGAACACGAATCTCCTATATATATAGATAAGCCCTTTCCTATATAGATAGTTCGTATTCAACCTAAGTTACTAACCCGCCGAAGGGTTAAACCTTAGAGCAGTTACTTACCCGACCTATCGCTTAGAACTTACTCGTCTAACGAGCTCTAACCCCCTTATACCGTAGGTGCATAACATTTTAAACACCTTAGCAATTTAGGCTTCAAAACCGTACCCGAGAAGTGTAAGTTCTTCTATAAGGAGGTCGACTTCTTAGGCTTTATCGTTAGAGTTAATAGCATTCGCATAGATCTAGAGAAAATTAAGTTAATTATAGAATAGCCTAAACTAACGATAGTCCGAGATATATAAGCATTCCTCGGACTAGCTAACTATAACCGAAAGTTTATTAAGGACTACTTAAGGATAGCTACACCCTTAACTAATCTAACGAAAAAGGACATCTAATAGAACTAGACGCCGACATAGGAGCAAGCTTTCTAGAAACTAAAAGAAGTTAGTATATCTGTACTAATACTCGCTATATTCGATCTAGAACGAGATATTATTATCGAAACCGATGCCTCCGACTTTGCTATTAGTACTTGCCTTATATAGGAGTATAATAGAAATCGATACCTAATCGCGTACTTCTTAAGGAAGATAACGCTAGCGGAATAAAACTACGAGATCTACGATAAGGAACTACTTACGATCGTCGTAGTATTACGATACTAGAGAATATACTATAAAGGAGCTATAGGACTAACTATCTACTCGGATTATAAGAACCTACAATTCTTTATAACTACTAAAGATCTTTCGAGACGATAATGTCGATAGTTAGAGCTACTTAGATAATATAAGTTTAATATTATTTATACTCTAGGAAAAGATAATAGGCGCGCCGATGCGCTAAGTAGACGAAGCGACTATACGGAGGGCAACGAGCCTAAACTAAAACAGGTGCTAAAGGTTAATAAGGACGGAAGCCTTAGTACAAAGACTTAAGAGTTTAACTTAACTCTTCGGGTTCTACGGGACGACGACGAAGAATTCCTAGTCGAGCATAGTAAGTATAAGGTACCGCTACTTAAGGAGAACGACTATATATAAGATTACTATAGTAGGGAAGACTCCGGTTACCTAGGTATTGCTCGAATAATAGAATATATTCGACGGAACTTCGCCTTCTTAGATATAAGACGAAAAGTCTTAGAATATATTAGGAAGTATATTAGTTATAATAAGAATAAGTCTTCGCGCTACGCGAAGTACGGCAACTTATAATTTCGGGAGCTACCCGAAAAACTATAGGAAGAAGTTATAATAGACTTTATAACCGATCTTCCTAAGTTACCTAACCCGGTAATAGGAGTATACTACGACGGTATCCTAGTTATAGTCGACGGGCTAACTAAGTATATATACTTTATTCCCTATAGTAAGACGATTACGGCCCCGTAGTTAGGCTGCCTTATACTCGATCGCCTTATACGCTACTACGGGATACTAAAGGTTTTTATTACCGATAGAGACACTAAGTTTATATTAAACTACTAGAAAACACTTGTCGCAGCAATTGGACTTAAATATAAGCTATCTACAGCATTCTATCCGGAAATAGACGGCTAAACCGAGAGAATAAACTAAAATCTCGAGCTATACCTTAGGCACTATATAAACCTAGCCTAAAATAACTAGGTAGAAAAGCTACTAATAGCGTAGGTTATACTTAATAATAATGTCTCCGAGACTACTAGCGAGTCGCTATTCTACGCTAATTACGGCAAGGATCCGAACCTATTTATAGAACCGCGCAAAGGACTAGTATCTAAGGAAGCCTTAGTTAAGGCCTCCGAACTTAAGGACGTCTACGGCAAATTACGATAAAATATCTCTAAATCTTAGCGAGCTCTTATAAGGACAAGATTTAAAGCCTTAAAAATAGCGCCTTAGCTAAAGACGGGGGATAAGGTATACCTTCTAACGAAGAACCTAAAAACTAAGAGAGGAACGAAGAAACTAGATTATATAAAGGTCGGACCGTTTCTAATCGCTAAGAAGAGAGGCGAACTTAACTACCGACTCGAACTACCTAGGGATACTAAGGTATACCCCGTATTCTACGTTTCCCTCCTCGAACTAGCGCACCTAGACACCGCGCTCTAAACGACATTCTACTACGAATCCTAAGAAAACTAGGAGTAGGAAGTAGAAGAAATCCTAGAGAAAAGAGGTTAGGAATATTTAGTTAAATAGAAGGGATACCCTAACGAAGATAATACGTAGGAACCTAGGACTTACCTTAAGAATTGCTAGGACCTCCTACGACAATTTTAGGACCGGAGAAGCTAATCGCGTTATTAATAAAGTTAAGCGAGGACTATACGGCCGGCGACAACCCTACTATAGCATCGGCTATAGGATAGTCCTCGTCGCCTAACTCTCCCGTAGCTTCTATCTCCGACTTAAGGTATGCGGCCTTTATCTTCGCTCGCTTATCCGCCTGCTTTAGAATTTTCTTATTCCGTATAAGACGACTAAGGATTATAGATAACTCTTCCTCGTCCTTCTCTACCTTTTTCTAATACTCCTCGCGAGTACGATCTAGTAACTCCTATAATATGTTTACGTGCGCCCTAGGCGGACGTACTCGGAACATCTTAGGCGGGAGTTCGATTCTATTATAACGCAATAGTAACTAGAAAAGAGATAGCGCTCGTAAGGGATTACGGTAGACTCCCCGTACTATTATATTTCTTAAGCAAGGCGAAGTCGATTCTTAGTTATAAGGGAACTTATCTTCGGATAACGAACTTTAAGGTTATAGGACCCCGCGATTACTTATAGACTAGGCTAGAAATCGCGCTAAACTATATTAGACCGATTACTACGCGCCGGCGTAATAACAATCCGTTAAGACGATAGGCTACTATAAGGATATAGGACTATAGACGGGGGATAATATTACGGATATAGAACTTAATTATTAGTAACGAGTTAGGAACTAAGACCTAAGGCTAGCAGACTAACTTTAGGACTAGATATAAGATTACCTTATTACTAGGTAATCGAATAATCCGGATTATAATCGCTATAGGTAACTATAATCGGGTCGCAATTACTATTAGTAATCGCGACTATATACGAATCTCCTATATATATAGAATAGACGTTTCTTATATAGGTAGTTCGTGTTTAACCTAAGTTACTAACCCGCCGAAAGGTTAAACCTTAGAGTAGTTACTTACCCGACCTATCGCTTAGAACTTACTCGTCTAACGAGCTCTAACCCCCTTGTACCGCAGGTGTATAACAGAAACGTAGAATATTAAATATACTTTAGTATTCTTAGATATTTTAAGTTAGTAGTTAAGTTTGCTTCGTTGTTTAGTAATTAGAAATAGTCTAACCTTTATATAATCTAGTTTCTTTATTCTTCTCTTAGTTTTTAGGGTTTTTATTAGAAGGTATACCTTATTCTCTATCTTTAATTAAAGTACTATCTTTAAGGCTTTAAACCTTATCTTTATAAAAGCTCGCTAAGATCTAGTAATATTTTATTATAATCTATTATAGATATTTTAAAGTCTAAAAGCTTATATAAGAGCTTCGCTAGTAGCTAGTCCTTCTTATAGTTCTATCAATAACGAGCAAGAGCGACGTTGTTGTCCTAAGTCCAGCTAATATCACGGCAAGCTTCGTGCTTGCGGCGCAAGCCAAAGTCAATTCCCTTAGACGTCGGGCATGTGTCGTAACAACCACACTTACTTTCCCATCAACGCCTGTAAATTTGATCGAGAAATTCGCAGGACATAGCTGATCTGGGTAGTGAGCAGATGCAAGAGCAGCGGATAGCTCGTTTGGCCATGCGAAGGGATCTTAAGATAGCTTTCTCGAGGTCCCGCTATCATACTTACATACTACCCTATGATGTAGGGACGAGTTGCGAAACGGCCGTCAATTTGCTCCCATCACAATCGCACGCGCTGCTGTATGCTGCACGTCCTCGGTGGTGCTACGATGCTACTCGCTCTGTTGATCGTCTTTCCAACACTCGCTATTGCGCCAACGTAACGTACAATAGCAGCTCTATCCCTTACAGCAATACCGTGAGCACCTCTCTCTCTCTCGCAGCAATTCGCACTCGCCATCACCTGTCGTTGTGACATCCACCGGAGCCAAGAGCCGGCCCACTGGCCCAACTTTCGCTTTTGCCTCTACTGATTAATTGAGATGTCGAGCGGCGGAGTCGGCAACTATGTGATGCAAGGATGTGGCGTCACGAGCAGCCTCCATTAAGACGAATCCTCCCAAATCGATGGCGGTGTCGTCTGTTTGTGCTCCAGTAAGGCGAGACGGGGTCAGTGCTGACATTGGGACAGGTCGAGCTCCTCTACTTCCAGCAATGACACATCCCAGGATACGCGTGCGACGACTCCACTGTCTGCGAAAATCTGCCCGTTGGGTCCAACAATCGCAGCATACCATTATCAGTCAGGTCTTGCCGAGAACGAGCAGTACTGCTATACACACTATCCATGCCCGTACGCTACGGCTAATATGTCTACCGCACTCTCTGGTAAGCACGGTGACCTCCAGGCTGCCATAGACTCTCACTATGGCATTGCCTGTCTGTTTTGAGGTGCAAAGCCGCCGGCAAGCTATCCAAAGCATTCCAAAGCTCCTGTGCTGTGGCACAAGCCGCGTATACGAATCTGTCTGGTCTTAGAACAACATAGGTTGCTCGGACGCCTACCTCACGCTGGATCTTAAACGGATCATAGTGTCTTGGGGCAGGTCGGTTGCGGCACAAGCGCTCATCTGCGGCGAATTCGTCCCCTGAAGCAATTCGGGCGATGTTTGCCGAAGATGATAGGGCATCTGGGGATTCGGCTTTTAGGTCATGGATTAAGACGGTGGCTTCGTCTTCCCGCAGTCTGCCGGCTGTTGACTGGGAGAGTCCGTGGATTTCCTTCAGCGCACATTGAGCTTTATCCGATTGATCTACTAAGAGCAGGATTTGGAAAAGCCCTTCCTTGGATTCCGCGTAGATAAGATCATCTGAGAAGACGATTTCGTTGGTAACGAGATTACGAGCATAGACTTGAGGGAGATTCAGCCCACCCCCAAGGTTCGGCACGAAGGGCATACCATCTTGGTACTTGTACCTAATCATGCCCTCGGCTCTTGACCCTTTCTCGAAGTATCTTCGCCAGCTAGGGTTCAGTTTGATAGCCCAAAATATCCAGTCCCTAAGGAAGGCCTTCCATGGGTCGCCATTAGTGACGAACTCGCCGTTTCTGATGGTGGATGCGAGCGAGTGCTCAAATTGCTGCTTCCGTTCCATGTACCAGGCACGGAGGAGCTCTTCGTGATCCGAGTCAGGCTCACGGTATAAGTGTGCAAGCCGCCAAGCCAGCGCAGATGCATCTCGAAACCCAGACGCGATACCCTGGCCGCCAAAAGGCGGGAACACATGCGCCGCATCCCCAGCTATAACGACTCGGCCCATTGCCCACATGTTACAGCTGCGGGCGAGGAAGCTGAAGGGTCGCGACCGTAGTGTTATGATGCAGTCTTCCGGATAACTCACTTGAAGAGGAAGTCCATACCGGCGGCCCGGATGTGTGATGTAAGGATATATGATCTTACTAGTCTTCGCAAATGTCGCCATTTCGACTGGATCTTCGCCGGCCTGAACTACGAATTCGAACCGCCAAAGTCGGTCTGCGGGCGGACCGAATCGACCGCATACTGAAGGCCGCAAGGGGTTGCAGAGAAATCGGAAATCAATGGGGAAGAAAAGATCGTACACCTGTTCGGGAGTGTACCCCAGCTTCCAGAGAGCAAAGTCGGGATGGGTATCAGGAGTAGGGAGGTTTATTTGCCAGTTTAGCGCGACCCACGTCTCGTCATAGTTCGTTCTACTTTGACGTCAGCAACACGATCTATCCTTAGTATTATGCTTTTGGATGACCAACCCTTCACATCGGTCCATTGAAATCCCCTTTGGTTCAAGGTATTTTTTTCTCACATACCCAGTCTTGCCATCTGCACCGACCAAGAACGGCGCCCGCAGTCTGACTGTGGAACCCGAGCGATCAATGTATTCAACTCTCACTGTGTTGGCGTCTTCGGTAATTGATGTGAGCGTCGCTTCTGACCTCAACTCTGAAAAGGGAGATTGGGCAATCACGTCCCGGATCGCCCTTTCCAGCTCTGGTTGTTTGTGGAAAACAAAACCGACATGGCCAGTGCCGCCCTCGCTAGTGAGGAGATCCGTCGTGAGCATTGGTGTTCTCGACAAATCGTGCCCTGTTCCACTAACGAAGTGGAAATTATAGCCTACGATCAGACCTGATCAGCCAGGCGTATGCCGAAGGCAGGGATGGAGAAAACTCACACGCTCCAATCTGAGTGAAGACGCGATCGTACATGCCGATCGCCTGGATCAACCGGATCCCATCCTCGTCCAGCGCAATGCCACGAGGGTCAGTGGTGATGTCGGCCTCGCGTTCAAGAATGACATTTGGGACGCTGAACTGATGTAGCAATGCAGAGAGTAGGGCACCTGTCGGGCCACCACCGCATATTATCACGCCGGTGGTCTCACAGGGCAACTCGGTGTCGCAGCTCATTGTCGTATATGAACAAACGCCAGACTGTAACAACGGGTGTCGACTGGGTGGAGTGAAGCGTTTAAGAAGACAGATCGGGAGTGTGGCCGCATCATTGCAAGAACGTCAGCACGCATAGCGATCGCGGGCGGTCGAACACGCTGAGATGTTCTGTGCCCGGTGGGGTCTACGTGGGACGCACGAGATTTGCACGAAAGTGGACCTGGTGGAGGTGGGGTTATGAGGACTTTCGCATTCGTGAACTCTTGCACGACGGTGCCACGTCCGTGGGGCAGAATGTGCGTGTTCAACAACCTCGAAAGATGTAATGGGCTGCATGCTCTCAGTGAAAAAGCACCCTGCTTCCACTCGGTTGAGGCTCGCATTGTCTTGACATAGCCTTCAGATGGCTGCTCCAACACATATTATCCGCTTCGTGGCCGAGGAAGATTTGAAAATATATCTCGGCCAGCTTGTCAATACGACACGCGATGTCGGTCTCGATACTCTGGAGGGCGTCCCAGTGAAAGCATATCGCATCGACGGATCACTATTTGATGGACACGTTACAAAGCACGTGTTGACGGCCAAAACCTTGCTCTCGCCCGTTTCGCAGGAACAATGCAGTTACATTCGATGTCTTGGACTTAATTACAAAGATCATGCCAAGGTGAGCGAGTCAATGACAATGCAGGTTTTCTTGTGTATGCCACTAATAGGCAGCAGGAAGCAAACCTGGCTCTGCCTGATAGGCCAATACTTTTCACAAAGCCGCGAACTGCGCTTGCTGATCCTTACCCAGCGGTGACATCAATTCCCAAATGCGCGCAAGATGGTTCCAGTGACTATGAGGCCGAGCTCTGCTTCGTTATCAAGAAGACCGGCCGCAACATTTCCGAGGATGAGGCATTAGACTATGTGCTGGGATATACGTGTAGCAACGACGTCTCGGCACGGACTCTGCAGTTGGCCAGTCCTCAATGGTCATACTCGAAAGGGCTTGACGGCAGCTGTCCTATAGATAAGTCTGGCTTTTATCCGGTCAGTCTCTGGATTAGCACTAACAAGCTGTAGGCCCTGTATTAGTCACGACTACAGCTATCTCCGATCCCCAAAAGCTCTCAATCAAGGCGATCTACAATGGGCAAGTTGTTCAGGACGGGAACACAAAGTACGTCTCACGACCGGAACGATGGAGTGTTCTTGCTAAGCATGCGACACAGAGACATGATCTTCTCCATAAAACAACAAATCTCATACCTTTCGCAAGGCACCACGCTTGAAGCCGGAACCATTTTTCTCACGGGCACGCCGGCAGGCATTGGCTTGTTCCGAACGCCTCGCGTCGTTCTAGAGGACGGTGACGACTTGAGGGTAGAGATCCAGGGTATCGGCACGCTCGTCAATTTAATTAAATATGAAGATTGGTAATCTAAAGATCTTGTGAAGGTCTTTTAAAAAGATCAGTGCTAGGAATAAGCTTTAGACACGGTCTCATAGATGCTTACGGGCGTTGCTTACATTCCCAGCTACTTTCGCTAATTTCTTCCGACATTGTCGGCGTGATTCACATCGCTAGTCGAGACCCATCGACGAGCGAGACCCATCAACGAGCGAGACCTATCGAACCTCGTCGATGGCGGTCATGCGATGTTGTGAAACGGCGTGATCCGGCGGGACATTGTGGCGGCGGGTTTGTGGGGATGGTGGGGATGGTGGGGATGGTGGGGATGGTGGGGATGGTGGGGATGGTGGGCATTTCCCGCTCCTGAGGTGGCTATACTTCGACGATGCCTCCAGCTGACAGATAGTTGGTAGTAGTCCAACCTACCTGCCCATTCTCGTACGGAGCCCACTCCTCACATTCGCCTGAACCTGTCTGATTGAACTACGTGAAGCATAGCAAGAACGTCATTATGGACACTGAGCGCGAGAAGGAGAAGCCCGCCGGGTCATCGTCGCTAGAAGTTGACCATCTCGAGCGTTCCAGAGGTCAGGATGATAACCTGGTCTATGATGATCCCGAAGGAGAGCCAGAACTCCATTTCAGAACGTACGCGGCCGTTACAGCCATGTTTTTGCTAAATCTGGTCCAAGTATTCGCCTTACAAGGTCCTCCCGTGGTGGTACGAGTTGCATGCGTCAGAAAGAATAACACAGAACACTCGCTGATTAACACAACATAGCTATCCTACATCGGCAAAGACCTGGATGCAACGGCGAGTGATACCTGGGTCCCGAATGCGCTCTCGCTTGTTCAAGCCGTGTTGGCACCCATAATCTCTTCGGCTTCGGATGCCTTTCAAGCTAGGAAATCGATCCTGGTTGCGACTTGTCTTGTATCCTTCGTCGGAGCGGCAATTGCACCGGGCGCGAAATCAATCGGCAGACTGATCTCAGCTCAAACTCTTATCGGAGTTGGATTTGCGGCCGTCCCCCTTGCGTACACCGTGCCTAGCGAGATTCTGCCGAGGCGTTGGAGACCAAGTACGTGTCTGATTCCGTCGGTAGTTCTGGAATCTGACACGTGGTAGTGGTGCAAGGCTCTATGAACATCGCGGCGAGTCTAGGCGCATGTATTGCTCCACTGGTGATCGGAGGATTCACAAGGTCTGACCCGAAGGGCTGGCGGAAGTTCTACGTAGGCTTATAAAGCCACACGGTTCGTGGTATTCGGCTTTGCTAACTTCACTCTTAGTGGGTCCAGATGGCATTGTGGGGCGCGACCGCAGTCGGGATCTTCGTGGGCTACCGACCACCCAAGAGACACACGCGCCTCGACCACTTGTCTGTTTGGCAGAAGATCGGCCATCTGGATCTTACTGGCATGGGTCTTCTCACTACTGGCTTGACACTTCTCTTGGTCGGTTTAAACCTGGGAGGAGGCCTCTACGCGTGGACTAATGTCCGTGTTCTTGCCACGCTGATCCTCGGCATACTCGTGCTGATATCTTTCGCCCTATACGAATGGAAGGGTACGAAGACCGGCATAATCCATCACGAACTGTTCCGGACCAACGAATATGCCAAAACTTTTGCTATTTGCGTGGCGCTTATCTTCATTGAAGCCATCTTGTTGTTTTCATACATCATCTTCTATCCTGTCGTGTCAGCATCCCATTTCCGACATTAATGTAGAGACGCCTCGCTAACGACTAGCAGCATTAGCAACCTTTTCACTGAAGATCCCTTCCTCCTAGCGGCTCGTGCCCAGCCTTTCTGGATCGCTTGCGGCCTGAGTACGATGGTTTACGGCACCGTAAGTACGAAACTCCGGTCAATCCGCCTACCGATGCTCTTCGGCTTCCTTATCTTCACTGGTGGAATAGTCGGCCTCTCCACCGTTGAGCCGAACGACTCTACCAACGCCGTCGTATTCGCTGGCCTGGCCGGCCTCGGCTTCGGAGCGCCCCTCGTGCTTGTTATTTCCGGCGTACAGCTATCGACTCCTCACCACTTCATTGCGACCGCTACGGCTATCACGACTTCAGCAAGAGCCGTCGGCGCGACGACCTTCACTGCCATCTTTTCCGCCGCCTTAACGACGCGTCTCGACAAGTATATCCCGAACTACATTGCCAAAGCCGCGGTTGGAGCTGGTCTACCGCAGGCGTCGGTGCCCGCATTGATTAGTGCTCTTACCTCTCATAACGCCACAGCAACTGCTGCTGTCTCAGGTGTTTCACCAGCCATTCTGGCAGCCAGTGGCGCAGCAGTAAAGCAAGCCTTTGCGGACGGGCTGCGAGTTGTGTACATCATCGCCGCGCCTTTCGGCGTGGTTGCGTGCATCCTATGCTTCTTCTTCGACGATTTGAGCCCCGTCATGAACTATCGAGTTGATGCACCTGTGGAAGATTTGCGTACCAAACGCCATCATTGAGGGCTGGACGCAAGAGGAGCGTAAGCAAAGACCTGTGTGTTTAGGCGAAAGGAGAGGATTGTAAATTTGAGCAGTAGTAAGGGTGATGTGAATTTTGAAGCTACACAGTTATAGCATGACTTAATTGTTGATGAGCATTGTCATTTTCGCCACCTGTTCCCTTGTGTAGTGCAGAGACAGCAATGGTTTGTAAACTCATACGTGGCTGCTTGATCTGCCGAAAGAAAAGGTGCTGCGAGTGCAAGCACAAGCTAGTTGAGTATCAGCACTAAGATCTGTAATGTGAATGTGGAAGCACGAGCGTGAATCATAATTCTGTGCTTAGCGTGGAGTATCGGAATTTTCTAAGCTACATTACATGCTCCTGTTGAAGGTCATGGATGTGACGATAAGAAGAGCCTCCACCTCCGTCAGTCTCAAATGCAACTCTTCTGCCAGCCTTAGGCTATCTCCGAGAACTTCATACATCAGTTGTCGGTGAAATCATGTCTCCAGCTCGACGGCAGTACTCCGTTCTTGCGCAGACTACTCAGAAATTGGAAACGGGCGCGGAAAGGGTTGGGAATAACTGTGACGTTGTTGCCGAGTTCTAGGAAAGCATCCGACGGCAACGAATATTTGGGCCAGAAGGGCAGGCTGGCGCTATTGGGACTGCCAGTCTTGGCGAAATTTGTCCAGTACGCTAACATTGTCATGGAAAGATCGACGTCGGCCGCCGTCGGAGTGCCGGTTGGACCTAATGAAGGACTCGGTATGAGATTGCCGAAGACGTAGTTGATCTCTGCCGTGTGGACCGCGATCGGGGAGTATGCACTAGTGTAGGTGTAATAGTAGGCGTAAACATCCTGGCGATTTATGTTGGCTTGTCTGTCAATGGTCTCGAACGTCTGCTCGCGAATAACCAAATCGCCGAGCAGATCTAGAGCAGACAGGTTGGCTTGCGCCTGCGTGTCTCCCGGATACAAAGATAGGAAGAAGGGGGTCGTAACTCCGAACAGAGTTTTTGCCGATTGGGCATAACGAGCAGTCGGTACGTGAGGGACAATTCGGGGAAGGAAGGCGACTCCCTCCGCGGCATTGAAGCCCGCGAGCAAGGGGACCTTTTGCGACTTGCCGACGTCGAAAGTCTGAGCAGGGAAGGTCGGAACGACGTAGCCGTCTATACTCGGAGCGAACGCAGTCAAGCCTGGATCCGTGCTTGCATTCCAAGATCCGGCGTGGTTGACACTTTCTGCAGTAAGTGTGCGAAGTTGCGTTAAAGAAGGTGCACCGAGCTGCTTCGCAAAAGCCGCGCCTTGAGCTCGTGCCTCCGAAAAGGTCCTCAAGGACCCATGCTCGCTGTCCCAGTATGCGCCGCTCTCCAAGATCGCCTTGTGGAAGAGGCCCGTAGCAAGGGGAGAGGCGATGAGGATACCGATAGAGTGCGCTCCTGCTGACTGTCCGAAGACAGTCACGTTTTCAGGATCACCGCCAAACGCTCGAATATTCTTTTTGACCCAAAGCAGAGCAGCAAGTTGATCCTGAAGACCGTAGTTGCCTGAGGGCGTTCCTTGTTGGTCTAGTTCTTCCAAGCCCAAGAAACCGAACACGCCGAGCCGATAATTGAAGCTAACAACGATGACACCGTGTTCTGCAAGTTTACTCCCATTGTAAAGCGGCACGCTCGAGCTTCCAAATTGGAAACCACCACCATGGAACCAGACCATAACTGGCCGGGCCTCGATGGCGAACAGCGCGCCGGTCCACACATTCGCAAAAAGGCAGTCCTCACTCACAGGGCCGTGTTGTGGATAGGTGGGGGCTGCACTGTAACAGCTTGCTCCAAAAGTGGTAGCGTTGCGAACGCCGGATAAGGCCGAGACGGGTTGCGGAGCTGACCATCGCAACTTCCCGACAGGAGGAGCTGCATACGGAATTCCGAGAAAAGCCTTGATACCTAGGTCATTGGCAGGCTGGCCTTCCAAGTTACCACTTTCGATGGTGATGGTCGAATTGGCCAGCGAACTTATGACACGTGGCGTCAAAAGGCACAGGCCCAAGATGATGGCGGCTTGCATTCTGTGCACAATGAGTTGCGCAAACGCTAAAGCTTTCGGTATATATGGGCGCAACCCCGTACACGATCCCTGCTTTGCACTGTGGGGGCCCCGGCGGGGTCATATTGACTGCCACCAACAGTCCAGTGGGGTAGGAGGGACAGATGCACGACCCAGACTTCGAAGCGTGTCTAACGGCTGGGGCCACATTTCTCAGCTAAGGGTCAAACGTGGAGTCTCGTACGTGGGCACATACGGCATTCGTCAGCGCCGGCACGGAAATGTATAAGAGGGCAGACCATGTTCGAATGAAGTCAGCATTAGCCTCCGGTTTGTAAGGAGAACGAAACAAAAGGTCTGACCAGCCATGAGCGAAATGCAAACGATTGTCGGTCCCTCGCTGCTGCACCGTCCGGAGCCTATCGACGCGAGTGGCGAATTGAGGACACCACACGGCAATGTCCATACCAACGGAGGCAAATCAGTACCCGACGTCGAAGCTCGCAGCGAAAAGTCGGAGCCGTTGTTATCATGGCAGATGAGGAGCGGTATTGAACGGAGCAATCAGATCAGGCTTGTAAAGCTGGCTCATATGCGGTATCAGCACCCGGACATTGCGAAGATTACAGAATTCCTCAAAGACTTTGGGATGCAGGTAGCGCAGCAAAGTGAAGATGGCGCCAAAGTCTGGTTTTGCGGTTACGGATCGGACCAATACGTCTATTTCGCCCAGAAGGGCCCAGAGAAAAGATTCCAAGGCGGTACCTTCGAGGTAGAGTCTATGGCTGATCTGGAGAAAGCTACACAGCTTCCCAGAGCATCAGGAATTGAGGAAATGGTGGACGCACCAGGCAGGGGCTATATCGTTACTATACAGGACCCGGAAGGCTTCCCAATCAACCTCATGTATGGCCAAACGCTGCGACGCAAGGGTGATCCCCCCCCTAAAATCATTCTCAACGATGAGACAGACAAGCCTAGGGTTCGCAAATTCAACCGCTTTACGCCTGGCCCAGCAGCTGTCCACAAGCTAGGCCATTATGGGCTGTGCGTGCAGAATTTTGAGGAGCAATTGAAGTGGTATACACGAAATTTTAATCTCGCGCCGACAGACTTCCTCTTCGTGACCTCGCCGAAGCCAAAGATAGACCAACAGGATGGAGCCCAAAGTTTGACAAAAGACGTCGCAGTGTTCGCGCACATCGATCGAGGTGCAGAACCTGTTGACCACCACACGTTCTTTATGTCTGCCAATCCAACCAGCCACGTACATCACTGCTCGTTCGAGGTCCACGACTACGACACGCAGCACTTGGGCCACCAATGGCTAGCGAGGCAAGGCCACAATAACGTTTGGGGTATAGGCCGCCATATCCTAGGCTCGCAAATCTTTGTACGCGTTTATTAGGGTGTTACCTATGATGTGGAAGAACCTGCTAACTGCTTGCACAGGACTACTGGTGGGATACTAGCGGTAACATGATTGAGCATTACACCGATGGCGATCTTGTGACTATAGAGACGCCGGTGACTTGGGGATCGGCAGGTGACGAGTCGCTTGCTGTTTGGGGGCCGAAGGTGCCGGAATCCTTCTTGCAATAGACGCACAGCCATGTATCAGAGAGGCAAGATTCAGTCAAAGCTAGGGTGGTTTCCGGGTCCGCAAACAAGCGTGATCGGTTCGTACCTTAGTAGTTGAGCGAAAGAGCACATCGTTAGAATAAAGCGAGCGAGCCGGCAATTGCGTTTGCTTATTTGGTTGTTCGTGAGCGCTCGTGATAGCACCAAGACTCTCGCCAACTCATCGATACAGTGCCAAGACTCTTATCGATAGTATTTATTGGCTCACGGTATCGTTCTCCGCTTCAACTAAAAGATAGCCGAGCGAGCGAGCGAGCGAACGAATGAGCCGAGACACTCTCACAGGCACAGTGCTCCCGTACCATGCCTGTGACACTGTATTTAATCTACTATAGCTCCGCTCGTCTGCTCTATTGAGCCCCTTAGCTCTCTGAGCGTAATCCAGAGCTATCTCCTCTATGTCAACGATAGCTACTCTGCAGGATCGCATTCCCACACGGAGAGTCGCGTGGTGACCTGCAAGAGCATCAAGACACACATGCAGACCTGTTGCGGCTGCATTACTTGCCCTTCCCTCTCAAGAATGCGTTAGATTCGGGGTATGCCTCTCATCAAAGAGGACCTCTACCTCGAGCCGCCTTATTTGAAAGCTTTACCCTTATCTTGAGATTTGCTCCGTAAGCACACACAAAAGACTCTCAGGTGGCATCGACACCACCTTGTATCAGGAATAAGGCTCCTAGTACAAGTGGGCCAGTAACTCACACCCTCTCTGCGTAACAACATTCGTATCCGTCCTTTCAAGCCACGCAGGCAGCGTCACTGTCCCCGCCATTGCGCACTACGCTAGACAGCCAGCGATGCTTCAGAGCGCCTACAGGCCAGGGGTATCCTGTCTCTCGCCGAGCTCATCTGTACATCCACTAGCCTTGTTGTCTTGACAGCCATGCTATCCTGACAGCCATGCTATCCTTGCTCTTCCTCCAGAAGCCACCGTGCAGTCGGAAGCTAAGAACGGCAAGTATTGAGCCAACTTCAGGCCCAGGTCTACGTTCTGGGTAGGCAAGAGTCGGATTAATTTCAGATGAGTTATCTTCTGGTTTTGCGGGTAAGCCCTTCGCTGTTATTCACTGCGCTTCGTAGCTCCTCGTCAGCTTGTGCCCCGAAGATGATGCGTCTTACATCTGCTCGAGCGCTTCATCTGGCAATATTCCATCAACAGGCGACATCTCCTGAGCTGCTGCTGAGTACTTCGGTGCGAGTGAGGTAGCCAGAAAAGCTAGACAATCAGTACAACTGAGATCACTACCATCGCGTTCGGCTCCGCCATGCGATGGCCGAACGCGGCGGTAGGACCCTTCATCGTCATCTTTTAGACCTCACTTCGCCGTAACGTCTACATACGTGAGTCTCGGGACTTCTCAGCGTTGCGCTACCCCGCATTTTGCTGCGGTTTTGCCGCCCTCTCCCCGCGAAGTGCTCCCTCTAATTCTCAAACCACAGTCAGTTCAAAGGGCCTACGCTAGGATGCCTTTACAGTCAGGCGCCAGCACTCGATTCGACCGTGGACATCGGCGCACATGCTCGATCTGCCATCGCACGTTTACGCGGACCGAGCATCTTGAACGGCATGTCCGCTCTCACACGCGTGACAAGCCCTTCAGCTGCGGCGTGTGCGGTAATGCGTATAGCCGGAGGTAAGACCACCGTCCTCCATTCGAGTAGCCTGCCTGACCTGGGCTGCAGCGACACGCTTCTCCGACATTCAAAAAGTCACGGCCACAGCGGGCGCGTTCCTAGCGAAGACAGCATGTTCTGTCCGGCGAGGATGAGTGTCCAAAGTATGACCGCGGATGCCTCAAAACATGATCAGCACACCCGTCCAGTTAATGCGTATTCCTCGGCGGTGTTTGCCTCGCAATCTTCTTCGCACGCCAATGCAATGTATCCTGGGAATGACGTGTTCGATCCAGGGCCGACGAGGGTACAGAACAGCTCGCCCAGTCCTGCTGCGACGAATATGTTGGATGAAAGGACTGAGCAGTCAGCGGAACGAGACGGGTCCGATCCAGCTATGCAGAGTGGCTCAGATCTTAACACTGGCAACCAGCCTGTCGAACTGACCCTTGATTTCCCTCCAGCCGATGAGCTCCCTCTTTGGCTTATGGATTGTGCCATAGACTGGAACAATTTGAGCTCTCCTTATGCTACTGATCTGATGCAGTTCGGATACGGCTGGTCGAACATTCCGTCAGAGAACATTGCTACTGTAAACGCACCCACTCCCAATCTGGAACGTATTTGGTTCACACACATGGATGAGCAGACCGACAGTCAATTCATATCAGAGTGTATGACACCCAATCGGAACCAGACAAGAGCAGATGTCGATGAGGATTTTCGCCAAACCTTGCATAATAGGCTCCAAAGGATCGCGGTGGAACCAGACCTACCGTCGTCCGACTTCCTCAATCTGAGCATCAGATCCTATTTCGCGTGCTTTCACCCTGTTTTCCCGGTCATACACGCTCCTACTTTCCGTCCCTCAAAGGCAAATGCGTTGCTATTGCTCTCAATCTGCTCCATCGGCAGCTTGTTCACTGGATCCAGTAAAGGCGCTATACAGGGAGCCAGGATTTTCGAATGGCTGAACAAAGCCATATTAGCGACTTGGGAGCGATTGATGGCTCGCAATACCGAAGAGGTCATCCCTATGGTCCAAGCCGCTCTGATAGGACAGACATTCGGCTTGTTGTCAGGAGACCCAAAGCATCTAGCTACTGTCGAGGCCTTCCACGGCTGCGTCATCTCCTGGGCGAGAAGGCGGAACATGTTCCAGATCAGACATAAGTGCCAGACTGAAATGGATTTACCGGTGATAGATTTAGATGCGAAGTGGCGGGAATGGGCGAAGACGGAAGAGCTTATCCGCATCGTACTGGGTCTGCACATCCATGACGCCGAACTAGCGGATATATTCCATCACGAGCCCTTCCTCCGACAGTCGAGGAATCAGCTCCCCCCAGCCGCTGACGATGACGTCTTCATAGCCAACAGGCCTCAAGAGTGGCTGATCGCCCTGAAGCAATGCGGCAGATCTGCGATTGTTCCGCAACACATGACGGCGGCAAGGAGTAGTACGATAGATATTACTCATGTCAACGCAAAAAGCTTGAGCTCCTTCACAGTATACGCTCGGCTTGAGTGTCTCTCCGCGACCATTATTGAGACGAGACTGGCGGGGAACCTAGACCTACCAATGCAGCAGTCGCTGGTCGAAGATTTACTCCGGCTGCACCAACAGATTCCCTCTTCAGGGTCTACAAAGGATCCAGACCCACTGGGAATCAGCATACTGTGGCATCTGTCTTTCATTTCCCTGCTCACCGACTTCGATCTGTTGGAGCAGGCGGTAGGACGAGATGGCACGCAAATCTCGACACAAGTCCAAGCAAGAGCCACTAGTTGGGCAGCTTCTGTGGAAGCAAAAAGGAGCATATTCCACGTCCAGCTCATTCGAAAGAAAATTGAAGTGCTGCCGGTTGGCCCGGAGCCGGCGGTCCACATCCCTCGAGCTATTTTCTTGGTTGCAATCTGCTGGTACTGTGCGTACCGCTACAGCAACGATGGCGACAATCCATCCTTGACCTCGCTCAGTTTTCCGGAAGCAACGGTGCTTGGTGTGAATCCCAGCACGCTACTCTTCGAAGCTCACGGCTACAAGTACGGCAAGCCTACATCAATGGAGGCAAACGAAGTGATCTGTCGCTTCGCAGATTTGCTTCAGCGTCTTGGGCATTGGGAGATCGCTCGGAAGTACGCGTCTATTATTGAAGCACTTCGAACTTTCTAACAAGTGAGAAAGTAAAGGAAATTATTAGTAGTAAGCGAAAGTAGTTACTATAAGGGTGAGCGAGTAATATATTATAGTAATATAGGCATACTTCTACGTACCGCCTAAAAGGAGCTTCCCACTATTAAGTTTATATAGTTCTATGCCCGTTTCTACTTAATTATAAAGCGAACCCCGCGTAATAGTAGTCTAGCGCTATAATACTAAGCTACGCGAATACCTTTATTATAGCTTTAAGTTAATAAGCCTATTCTATTCTAAATTATTAGTATTAAGATTTATAAGATACTATCTAGCTACTATTTTACTTAGGAGTAGGATTATTAGGTACGACACGCCGATAATAAAGCTAAATATAGGATATAGTATAGATATTAGATAATATTACTATCTCGAGACCCTTCTTAGCTATTAAATACTCTATAACTTATAGAGTAGATCCCTTTATCTTTTCTAAGCTTTACTACTAGATAACGACGGTCGAGGTTATAATAATTTATTATACTCTTAATCTTAGGCTTTTGCTTTAGTACTAGTTTTAAAGCTATTTAAATATACTTCTATATATAGAGATTATCTCTAGTAGATATAACCTAGTAAAGTACTTCTAGAAGAAGCTAATTAGTTAGCTTCTTAGTTCTATAGACCTTTTTAACCCCTTTAAGGATAATTATATAATAGTATAGATATAAGTTTTATTAGTAGACGGATTTCTTACTAGTAAAACTATCTAGGTAGTTATAAGGAATCTACTACTACTTACCTTTATAAGAAGTAGATCTTAGACTTAGTAAACTTTCTCTTCTAGTAGTAATAGATTTCGATAAAAATACTATACTTCTATACGCGCCTATTAAAGAAGAATACTATATTCGAAATATTAGAGTCTAATACTATAAAACTAATTCTATAATTTTAGTATATCTCTATACCTCTATATCGCTAAGTAATAGATACTAGAGTTAAATCTTTACTAGCGGATAGTATATTCTATTAGAGGATATTCTAGACTACTATTATATTTAGCTAAGTATTACGGATATATAATATAGAGTATAGAAATAAGAGAATAAGGACTAGTTATTTTAGCCTTAAAGAGAAAGTCTATAGAAGTATATACTTTAAGAATATATAACTAACTAGAGTTACTAGACTTTAGTTAGATACGTACCTAACTAATATACTAATTAACTAGTCGGCTAGTTAGATAGAGAATTAGATATATAAATCTTCTATATATATAGAATATATATTTCTTATATAGATAGTTTATATTTAACCTAAGTTACTAACCCGCTAAATAGTTAAATCTTAGAGTAGTTACTTACCTAACCTATCGCTTAGAACTTACTTATCTAACGAGCTCTAATTCTCTTATACTATAGGTATATAATAGCGACTACTTAGATCGAGGGAGTAAGAAGTTAGATAGTAGCAAAAACGGTAGTATACCTTATAAAGCTTATAATAATCGAAGTAAAAAGAAGTAAGTCTTTATAATTTAGTAAAGACTATATTACCTTTATAGAATCTAATTAGTTATACTATAGATACCTAATATTAGAATAAATTATACTATTAACTTTTAAAGTAGGTTCTAGCTCTTTAAATAAGCTATTTAACCTCGATCTATAGTAGTTAACCTACTTCTAACTACGTTTAATAGTTCGTCTAACTATTATATTAGTTAAATACGTTCGATACGTCTAGCTAGTATTATTAAGTATATATAAGCTATATAATATATTTCTTAGATAATCTACTATAGTAACCTAATTACTAATCTCTATAGCTAGCTAAAAGATAGTCTTACTAGATCTATCTTTAGTAAGTAGGGCTACTATACTCTATCTACCTAGTAGGTAGTCGTAGAGAAAGTAAAGTTTATCTAGAAACCTATACTAATTATCTCCTTTGCTTAGCTTTATATATAATAATTATAAACAAATAGACTAGAGACGTACTAAACTCTTATATTATACGAGACTATAGACAAATAAGCTATCGAATAAGTCTATATACTATAAGCATCTTAATCGATCTATAGAACTATATATATAACGAAAGATATAAGAAAAATAATACTATAGACAATAATAAACTAGGCTATTATTAGTAGCTAGATTAGGAGAGAAAGTTAGATTAGGTATACTTATATAACTAAATTATTAAAATATAAATACTTTAGGTAGTACTACCTAATCTATAACGACTTATAGGTAGGACTCGCCTCTAGAAGAAGGCTAAGAATAATTAGATAACTTTAAAGTATTACTTATTTTAGGTAATAAGCTACTTTTACTAACTAGCTATATACGAATACCTAGCGAATTATAGACTTATCGAGAAGCTAGATATTTCGCTAACTTTTTGTTACTAGTAGTATTATTAAAAGATATACTCTTAACTATAATACTAACTCGAAATATAGGTAGATCGATTAATATCTAGAGAAAGTTATAATCTAGTCGGTCCCTACTAGAGTTACTATACTCCTTTAGTTCTATCGTATATTGTAGTATCTTAATTATAGTATTACTAGCTCCTTAGTTCTAGGTATTTAAGGACGTTTAACTAGAGTCGACGGATCTCGCTCTAGATACGTTAGAGCTTAATATATAAGCCGTTCTACCTAATATAAGCTATTCTAAGTCTCCTTTGCTACTATAATTAGCCCTTAATAGCAACGTACTAATAACTAAGACGTATTAACTAAAAGTATTCTCTCCTATCGAAATAAGATTATCGCCTAAATATTTCTTATAAAGAGATACTAGTTAAGTATCGTAAGGAAACTATTTATAATTATATATCTTCGACTCCGGTACCTAGATTCTTATATATAAGCTAGTTAGATAAGGATAGCTTTTCTTACGATACCGAACAAAGTATCTATAAGTATAAGCGACTAATCTTCTTTTATATAGGTTAGCCGCTCTAGCTATATAGCAATTTAGCGCGTAGCTATAATAAGCTATAGGCTTTGTATATATAAAGTCTTCTCTTGCTTTTATCTATTGCTCTTATAGTTAGTAAAATAGATTACTACCTTAAAGATTAATTATAGAGAGCGCTACTATAAGCTTATATAGTAATACGCCGTTAATAAACCTTATAGAGATACTAAGGAGAGTAGTAAGTCTATCTTTAAGACGGTATATTCGTTTTTACTAAAGAACCCTCGTAAGGACTTAAGCGTCTTAAGCAAGCTTCTAGGAATATTATATAATATATAGCGTAATTAGCTAGGTCGTTTCTATACCGCAAGCTTTAAAGTTTATAAGAAAGGTTTTTATAATTAAGCTCGTATTAAGCAATTCGACTTCTATACGGGCCCTAACGACTATATACGAAAGACCTTATAGACGTTTGCTACGGAGTAGATAAATAATCCCTCTAGATTCTAGGGATATAGAAGATAGAATCGTCTTATTAATATATATACCCTAAGCTAACTTATAGAGCTTTATATTAGTACGAAGTATAAAGACGCTTAGTTTTATATAGTATAACGTATAGCTTATATAGTCCTTATAGATATACTAAATTCTATCCTAGAGCCCTCGGTCGATAAAGTAGCGTAGTCTATATACTTTATATCCCTAATACGAATATCTATACTAGAAGCGACGAAGATTATAAAGTCGATATTAGACTAGAGCTATCGATATTATAACCTAGAGATCGCTCTAGGAAGAGATATCTATTTAATTCTAGGTTATACGTTATCTAGATCGTAGTTAGTCTATATACTAGACTAGCAGATATTCGATACGTATCTAATAGTAGTAGTTAGTATAAGCTAATAGGAAAGAGTAGACTACGATTCGATACGATTATTACTATTATTAAAGGAACTAATATAGGTAACTTATCCGAGCGATATATTTTGCTCCGCGACGTAGTTATATAAAGCCGCACGTAACAAATTCGTATAGCGAGACTATACTAGCGATTAATAACGTCGATAATACTATAGAGTAGATATTAATATCTCTATACTCTATATAGTACGAAGCCTTCGAGGAGATATATAGATAATAATTATTACTCTATAGACCGATCGTACTATAGCGTACTAAGATAAATATAGCGTGCTCGTTAATTAGTTTATTAGAGGAAGATAATAGGTATCTTATATACTTAGGATAAGCTATTTAGTATAAGGTCTTATTAGAGGGATAAAAATCTACGCCTAACGTAGCCTCCAATATTAAACAACTAGTAGCGTAATTAGATTTCTTCCTATATCCGTCCTGTTTTATAGACTAGCTTTCGCGATTAGCGATCTTAGCAAATATATTAAGTTAATTAAGGAAAGGAAGGTACCTAAGCGTCTTCTACGTTCGCTATATATATAAATATTACTACGGTCCCTAATACGTCGAGCTCGAGCTACTAACGTATTAAAGCAGGTAGCTAAATATATCTAGGCTAGTCTTTAGGAATACTTTAAACTTATATACTCGAGCCTAAGATACCTATAAGGATATAGGTATAGGTAAGATAGTAGTCGCTCGTTAGCACTTTACTAGTAAGTAGTCGAGTAGACGTATATATACTATAAGAGAATCCGAGAATTATTATAGAACGGAGCACTCTATACGAACCCCGTCTAACGGTATATATAGGATATCGTTCGAGTCTACTCTATATTAGAGCTAAGTACGACGATAAGATAACCCTACTAATAGATTATAAGTTAGAAGTACGATTAGATAGTAGTTAGTACTATAGCAACAATATCTAATTATATGCTACTAAAGTAACTCTCGTTTCTTAAGAGTTAAATAGGTATCTTTTAAAAATCGATACCTCGAAAAGAATACGAGATGTATTTATCTAGGTATATATCTATCGAAAAGCCCTCGGTAGACTCGACTACCTATCGAACGGAATAAACCCGACTAATTCGGGGATCTATTACGTAAATAGCTTTACGCTAAAAGTCCGTCTAGATTTTAAGCGTACTCGCTCTAAACCGACGTCCTTCCCCTTAAGTCCTCCTATATATTTAACTTCTACCTCTATTATTTGAATAGAATCTATCTCTAATAACTTATTAGATATAGATTATATAACGATCTAATTTATATAGCGACTATAGTAGCTAAGAAGCTTAGGCGCCTCTCTACTACCTACTTAAGCCGGCGTTATTAACTATACGGAGTAGTATAGGCTAGTATAGATTCTAGGGATTTTACGTCTAGTCGTCTAACTAGCAAGGTAATCCTATAAACAAACGCTTAAAATAAATTAGGCTCGATTTATAAGTACGTATTATTCACGTTTTAGCTACGGATCCGTTCTCGATATATCGTTTACTTATAAGTCGTAAGGATAGACTTCGGTATATAAGACTTTAGACGAGCGTTTATAGTTATAATAACGTATTATTAATAGTAGTACGAGATTAATTATAGGACTACTAATATACTAGGTATATTAATCCTATATAAGTATAGAATAATTATAACAATATACTAAGTTCTATAGATTATTTCTAGTTGTACTAGCGTCTAAGGCTAGTAGAACAGCGTTTGCGTATAAGATTCGAAGTATCTAAGTTAGTCGAAAGAGTACGACGGACTCCTTAGCTACCCGGTTACGACGTAGGAGATAATAGCCTAAGCGAGATAGTAAATAGGCTCGAACTCAATTAGTAAGTATCTAGATCGGATAGAGATAACGGAGTCGATATCGATTAGCATTACGACTACCGCAGACGACTACCTCGAAAATAATATATTAGTATAACAAGGTCTATTAGTACTTCGCTCGGTGCATATGTACTATCTTATAATATTTGCAAACGAACATGCCCCTTAGAAGGTTGCTTACGTCTCTTGGTGCATCGCTTACGAAGCTGCCATCCTAGCCCCTTTCAAATCTTTTGGCGATGGACAAACTTTACTATGTGCTTCTTGCATCGAGACGTCTGTAACCATGATCGATGACTACTAAGCTCCTCAAATACGAACGAGGGTCCAGACCACACTATATCTCCGCACGTCCATATTTAGCTAGCTCATCAAGGAGAAGCCATGCACAACTAGCTCCTATGTTCCTCTCTTGCTGATCCAGCTCCTGTGTCCTGCTGACTATACGGTGGTTGGAACATTGAGAATTTGGAGACAATGTACTAACGCCCCCCAAGAACTGGGATCGGCAGTGCGGTGATACTAATCATACGTCGCAGGCGAGGCATGATTCGCGATATGAGACTGTAAGTGGAGAAGATGTTCGCAGCTCGACCTTATGCAAGCCGCGCAGCAGCAGTACTCTAATAACCATTCTGGCCCTCTAACGACGCCTGTCGGCCCTACATACAGATTTCGCTCGCAGTCCGCTCGGCAGTCATAACTTGACCTTCGGCAAGCTCACGCACGCCCTTGTCGTCGAAGGCTATGTTAAGGCCTTGACGGCTAATTCAGATCGTCCGAAGCAATTTGGTCGGCTCGCTGTTGGCTTTGATCGCAGTTGCGTTGTTGAGGACTTTTAGTGTCCGTTGCATAAGATAGACAGCGCGACAAAAATTATCACTCGGCGGGCTCCCAGCTACGCGAGGCTGCACATAGAAGCAGGCCACTGGCTTGATGGGCCGCTCAGGCGGAGATTGGTAGCTCGGGTCTACACCGAGTGCTTCGACCCGGCCGGACATTGTGCCTGTTGTAGGTGATCTTGTCTGTATCTTGAGAGGCTGAGTGTCTGCAGGGCTTGCCAACCGTTGAGATCGCGGCAGTGATACGTCTGCATGGTAGTGACGATTGTGCAGGACAATCGCTTTACATCAGATCCTAATGCGTGTACAATCATCTACCTTACAGCAAATCCATATTACTGTGGCCACAGATATCCTTCAAATGGAGCATGCCATAAGCCAGGATCTAGATAATACGATTCAATTTTGCTAATGCTAGGGCACAAGATGAGTCGCGCTGTACACCTAGGACGCACAGGAACTGACCCCGGGGCCATCTTCGATCACAGACAGGACGTTCCTAACGCAGAGGCGAAATATGTGTATGTTCTATGCCGTAGTGGAAATGCGGTCGACATGCTGATGCCCCTGACGCCGCGACCACGCAATGCAAATGGCTGAGCGCTTCCGCTTTCGCACCGCGGGACATGCCGAGTCGCGCAAAGGCCAGGTGGAATGCTGAGAGGCTACAATGCAGGCAGTCCCAAAAGCCCACCGAAAGTTTGTACAAGAGATACAAGAGCTTTAAGGTAAGCTTTCCAGTATGCCGACATCGTGTATTTGCGTGTCTGCATTAAACAAGGTAAGATCTGAGATTGGGCGCCACTTACTAGTGATTATAGTCGAGGTACAGTACATGCGAGAGCTGCTTCCGGTCAGCGCTGATCGTATCATCGCTGAAAGTCACTTGCTTGGTTTCAGGCTATGTCGGCCATTGGGGTATACAAGAGACTTTACTTACACCAAGGTACAGGGTGTTATTGGAGAGACTGTAGCTCTACATACACCCAAGTGTAATCACTTGCGCCATGTAAGGTACCAAGTTACACCTTGAACACAGAAAGTTCACCAGCGTGGGTCTAAAGCAGAACAGAAGAGTCAGCACGAGTCCCACGAGAGAGTACAGGCATATAGACATCTGGGACCATGCGCGTGAGGTCGTCAAACTATATGATTGAGCAAGTTGTTGAAATTCGGAAGCCGACACAATTGCTTAATGCGGCGCTGACACCCAGATGCACATCGGGATGTAACGTGCCCGTCTGAAGCTGGACAGCATTGTCTTGAACTAGTCCGCAGCGGTTGGCGAAAGGGCAGACAGTGCCGGAACTGGCAAGCTCCCACAGTCTGGTGTCGTGCTGGTGACGTTGTAGCACCGGTTCGCGTACGCTCGAGCTTGTAGCATGTCGTCGGCATGCTTTCCTTGCTCTTCCGTACAAATCCTTGCCATTCACGGCGGCTCTTGTGGATTCGGGGCCACAATTAGTGGGCCTCGCGATGATCTGAGTCGGTTTATGCGCCGGGACAGCCCCCTGGCCCACGAATATGCCAGCAACTGTGAAGCTGAGAGCGATCGAAAGTGCTAGCCAGACCAAAGTAAGGACTCTGAGCATGCCTCTGTTGGCTTTGCCACGCCATATCCGGCCAATCTTGCACAGGTAAAGCACGCTCCCGAATGAGATAACGCTGTAACTCAAGGTAGACTTACACTTGACGGGTCATAGCCATCTTCTGCATTAGGACTGGAACGTAAGTGATGGAACACAAACGCGGTCATCTTCCATGCGGCTTCGCCAGCCATTCTCACAAGCAGAGTGAGTGCCGAGATGATCAATGCGCCGAACGCAGCAGGAACAGTCAAAGTGGTTCCCGAAAAGACGTTCGTGGAGTGACCTATTCCAAGCCACCACGTTGTCGCTTGCGTGCCGCTCATTGCTGAGGAGTCTGCCTTTCGTCAAGTGTACTGGAGGGACCGAGACGGTTGTGATTGTGCTTGGAACGGCGAGGGCATCGAGACACCTGTTTGTCTCTAGCATATAGCCAAAAGCTTGAACCACATAGCAGTGCCATAGTGTTCGGGGGCAGTTAGCTCTTGCATTACATTTTATATTACACAACTTGTCTCAAGGTCGTGTCGCTGCACGTAGTTCCTAAGATATCGTGACTCTTAGACCACGGGCCATCCGGTGCTCCAGTCAATCTTGTTGACGCCAAGGACTTTGTCGCCATCTGCGTAACCAATGTTGGTATTGACGCTGAAAGAGATAAGAGCTCAGTAAGTGTTTTGCGAAGCGTGGATAAGCAGCCAAGGCTGAGCCGGCCTCTCCCGCAAGGTGGGCAGGGGCCGGCTGCAAGCTCCGTTCTTGCGCCTTGGGGAACACAACCACCGGGGCACTCACTAGTGATAAAACAGCACAGAGCCCTCGACAGGATCGTCATAGACTCCCTGACCGCCGGGGCCGTAGACCACGCCATGGGACCCAAGGACCAGCGTCCCGCCGCTGTTCGTGCAAGCTTGTCCGTTCCTATCAACCTGCGAGGTGTGTCAGTTGAAACAGGACGGATTCTGATTAATAGAAAAAGGGCACATGGTGTGGGCTTCACTTACATAGCTGCCCGTCACCGTATTAGATCGACAGACCATAATCTTATACTCGTCTCCCGGCGCCGGCCTCGACGTGTCGTATCCACAGCAGGATCCGCTGCTGAAGAAAAGGTAGTAGTACGACCTAGTGTGATACACATAGGCGCCCTCACTGGGCTGCGGGCTAGTACTGTTGAGTTCGATCCTGTACGGAGTCGACTGCGACCAACTCTCGAGGTTCGATGACAGGGTGGTCTGATACAAATCGCCCCAAAACGAGCCGAACGTGAGGTACTTCTTGCCCGAGACTTGGATAAGGTTAAGATCAATGGCATTGTAGTCATCCCCGGTTGTTGAGGCGACGCTGGTGGAGCCATGATCGGTCCATGTCCCGGCATCCATAGAAGTCGACGTTGCTACACCGATAGCAGATGTTTGCGTGCCAAAGGTCGAGACAGCGTAGTAGAGATAGTACGTCCCCGCTACATAATGAACATCCGGTGCCCACGCATCATCTGCCCCAGGATTGTTGATTTTGCTCCCGCTGGGCAGAACTTCGCCCGCATTCTTCCAGGGACCGGTGATTGATGGTGCTGAATGAGGGCGGGTGTTCTGCATATACATGTCTAAGAGTTTCTCCGTTCAGCGAACAGTGAAACGCGCGTAGCGCTCGGGCTACATAGTTCTATGCTAATACAACCACTAACCCCTTGGTGTGAAAACGACCGTGGGCTGTGAACCGAGCAACATACGCAACGAATGGTTAAGGGACAACAGCGCAATCACAGACCTCGACTCCTGGAGGCTACCTACGGGGACGAGAGCTGCATTCTGCACAACATAACAAGTTCCGGAAGCGGCGATTCGCAAGGCAATTGCTCCTTATGCATAGCATGGCGTTCATGGGCAAGATGGGACTACAAGCGGACTATAGTGTGGCTTGTTTGGCATACTGCGGAAGGTAGATAAGATGGACGTCTAAGCAGCTCGCTTATAGATGCCGCTCGCTTGTAGAGTACGTTATTCCTTCCAGAGTTTAGTAACAGACACTTCGCTAGCAGTCACGCTGTTGTTCTCGCCTCCGAGAACCCCACCACCAGCGATCAACAAGCGATCTGGATTCCGTCGGACTCGGAGCGAGCGCGTAGGGTTTTAGGGTTAGGGTTAGGGTTAGGGT